AGCTTGAGGAAGTAAAGACTCACATTGCATCGCTAGACTCCATGGGGGAGGAGATCCAAAGTGAGCTGGAAGCTGCTCTCAACAAAGGCTTGGACGTGTTCACCCGAAAGAATCAGACCTTGGAGGCTGAAGTGCGGACCTTGCGCGATGGCATGGAAGCCATGCGCCAGCGGATGGAAGAGCTTGCCAGTGAGCTCGTTACTTGCAAGACTGCCATTGGGAATGGCATGTTTGCTGGAGTGTCCAAATCCAGATTGGATGTCCCCAAGCCTAAGGAGTTCAAGGGGACTAGGGCGGCCAAGGAAGTAGACAACTACCTTTGGGGTATGGAGCAGTACTTCCAGGCCATGGGCATGCAAGACGAGAGGATAAAGGTAAGCACCGCTGCTATGTATCTCACTAATGTAGCCTTATTATGGTGGAGGCGCAGGTGTGATGATGTCTGGCGTGGGAGCGCCAAGATTGGAACCTGGGCAGAGTTCTAAAAGGAGTTCAGAGAACAGTTTTACCCGGAGTATGCCGATGATGAGGCGCGGGCAAAGCTACGCAGGCTGAGCCAGCAAGGGGACATAAGGGAGTATGTCCAAAAATTCTCTGAACTAATGCTACAGATCTCAGATCTAGGCGAAAAGGACGCCTTTTTTGCTTTCATGGATGCGCTGAAGCCGTGGGTGAAGCATGAGCTACAAAGGAGGGGAGTTCATGACTTGGCTAAAGCCATGACTACTGCCGAGGCCTTGATAGAGTTCAAGTCTCTGAACAAGTTCGAGTCTACCAAGCCCAAGGGTAAGGACAGGGACGATAGGGACCGGAAGAAGCAGTCCAAGGGGACCGTGACCGGGAGTCCAAGGATGGGGACCGAGACCGTTCAACCAAGGATGGCGAGAGGAAGCCACCAGCAGGCAAGTGGAAAGCACAAGGGGACCGAGAACCACTAGCATGCTACCTATGTGGAAGAAGCCACATAGCGCGCAATTGCCCGCAGAAGGGCAAGCTGGTTGCTGTAGACAAAGAGCCTGACGAGGAGCCAGAGTCAGGGGCAGCAAAGCTTGGGTCGTTGGTGCTCAATGCTGTCCAAAGTAAGGGGAGCCGCAAGCCAAAAGGCTTGATGTTTGCGGATCTGATGGTTGCAGGTCAAAAGGTTAGCGCACTAGTGGACACAGGTGCCTCACATCTTTTTATTTCAGGTGATGGAGCCCGGAAGCTCGGACTGAAGGTGCAAAAAGGGACCGGTACCATTAAGACGGTGAACTCCAAGGAAGTTCCAGCCATTGGAGTAGCACGGGGAGTGGAGTTGCAGCTTGGAGACTGGAAAGGCAAGGAGACCATTGAGGTAATACCCCTTGACGACTATGAGTTTGTGATTGGGTTGGATTTCCTTGTTCGGATTAACGCCCTCCTTGTGCCTTTTGCCGATTGTGTTTGCATCTTGGATGCACGGTGCCAATGCCTAGTACCATTGAGGAGAAGGTCTGGAGTTGGGTCACGGGTGGTGTTAGCCATCCAATTTGCCAAGGCGGTAAGCAGACAAGAAGACCCCTTCTTGGCAGCCATGAAATATGATGAGCCAAGGGAGAAGGAGACCGAGTCACCCTTAGAGGTGCTAAAGGTGCTGAAGACCTTTAGTGATGTGATGCCCGCAAAGCTGCCTAGCAAGCTACCACCTAAGAGGGAGGTGGACCACAAGATCGAGCTAGTGTCCGAGGCCAAGCCACCAGCCAGAGCCCCTTACCAAATGTCTCCACCAGAGTTGGAGGAGTTAAGGAAGCAGCTCAAAGAGTTGGTTGATGCTGGCTTCATCAGGCCATCGAAGGCACCCTATGGTGCACCGGTTCTATTCCAACGCAAGCATGATGGGTCGTTGCAGCTGTGCATAGACTACCGGGCTTTGAACAAGCTGACCATCAAGAACAAGCACCCCATCCCACTCATTGCGGACTTGTTCGATCAACTTGGAAGCGCAAGGTGGTTCACCAAGTTGGATTTGAGGTCGGGCTACTATCAAGTCAGGATCGCGGAGGGAGATGAGCCAAAGACAGCATGTGTCACTCGGTATGGTTCGTATGAGTTCTTGGTGATGCCTTTCGGACTCACGAACGCCCCAGCAACATTCTGCACCCTTATGAACAAGGTACTTTAGTCATTCCTTGATCGGTTTGTTGTGGTTTATTTGGATGACATTGTGATCTACAGCCAAACTTTGGGAGAGCATGTAGACCACTTGAGACAGGTGTTCGAGGTGTTGCGGGCGCACAAGCTGTTTGTCAAGAGGGAGAAGTGCTCATTCGCCCAGCAGGAGATCCCGTTCCTAGGCCACGTAGTGGGAGGTGGCAGGATAAGCATGGATGAAGGCAAGATAAACGCCATCCTGGAGTGGCAACCGCCAGCCAAGGTCACTAAGTTGAGATCGTTCCTTGGGCTGGTTAACTACTACAGGCACTTCATCAAAGGTCACTCAGCAATAGCCACGCCATTGACTGACTTGCTCAAGAAAGGGAGAGCATGGGAGTGGAGCACAGGGTGCCAGGAAGCCTTTGATAAGTTGAAGCGGGCTGTAACCGAGGAGCCAGTCTTGGCCTTGCCAGACCATGCCAAGCCGTATGAGGTGCATACGGATGCATCAAACTTTGCCATAGGGGGCGTGTTGATGCAGGAGGGACGTCCAGTCGCGTTCGAAAGCAGGAAGCTGAACGAGACTGAACGCAAGTACACGGTCCAAGAGAAGGAGATGACTGCAGTGGTGCACTGCTTGCGCACTTGGTGCCATTACCTGTTGGGGTCGAGGTTCGTGGTGAGGCGGACAATGTGGCGACCAGCTACTTCCAGACGCAGAAGAAGCTGTCCCCCAAACAGGCTAGATGGCAAGATTTTCTTGCAGAATTTGATTTCCAGATGGAGTACAAGCCAGGACGGGCGAACCTAGTGGCAGACGCCCTGAGCAGAAAGGCTAACCTTGCTGCCATTAGCCAACCAGAGGGGTCACTGGTGCCACGCATCAATGAGGGACTCACGCATGATCCTACAGCCAAGGCTTTGATAGAGTACGCCCAGCAAGGTAAGACTAGGCGGTTTTGGTTGCAGGATGGCTTGCTGTACACTAGGGGCAGTAGACTGTTTGTGCCGCAGCACGGGAAGCTCCGCAAGGAAGTTCTGCAAGAATGCCATGATTCAAGGTGGGCTGGACACCCCGGAGTGAGCCGCACCTTGGCGCTGATCGAGGACCGGTACTACTGGCCGCACATGAAGGACGATGTGGAGGCCTATGTGAAGACTTGTCTTGTGTGCCAACAGGACAAGGTGGAGCTCAAGAAACCAAGGGGTCTCTTAGAGCCATTGCAAGTGCCAGAGCGACCATGGGAGAGTGTTTCTCTAGACTTTATAGTCGGTCTACCCAAAGCAGAAGGGTTTGGAAGCATCATGGTAGTGGTGGACAGGTTTTCCAAGTATGGAATCTTCATTCCAGCAACCAAGGAGTGCCCAGCCGAGGAGGCAGCTCGATTGTTCCTGAAGAACATGGTTAAGTACTAAGGAGTGCCGAGGACCATTGTTAGTGATCGGGACGGGCGTTTCACCGGTAGGTTCTGGACTGAGTTGTTCAAGCTGTTGGGGTCAGACTTGAACTTTTCCACCAGCATGCATCCGCAGACTGATGGGCAGACAGAGCGAGTAAATGGACTATTGGAGGTCTACCTCAAGCACTATGTGAGTGCCACACAAAGGGACTGGCCAAAGCTGCTAGATATTGCACAGTTTTCCTACAACTTGCAAAGGAGCGAGGCAACGAACCAGAGCCCATTTGAGGTTGTGACAGGGCAACAACCACTAACACCCGGTTCGATTGCTGCAGGTTATACAGGGCCGAATCCAGCAGCATACAAGTTTGCCAAGGCATGGCAGGAGCAAACTGACTTGGCCAGAGTTTGTCTACACAAGGTGGCCAAGAGGTCGAAGAAGTGGGCAGACCAGAATAGGCGGGACGTGCAGTTCCAGGTTGGAGACTTGGTGTTGGTGAAGCTGCATTCCATTGTGCGCCACAGGGGGCTGCACAAAGGCCTAGTGCGGAGGTATGAGGGACCTTTCCGAGTAGTCAAGAGGGTAGGCAAGGTTGCCTACAAGCTGGATATGCCACCCAAGCCGAGGGTACACCCGGTGTTCCATGTGAGCATGCTCAACCCGTTCCATGAGGATAAGGGAGATCCAGAACGGGCAGAGTCAAAGCGTGCGCCATTGGGAGCAAGGGCCTCATATGAGAAGGAGGCCCACAGCATCATGGCTGACCGGGAGGTGAGACGGAAGAACTATCAACCAAGACAAGAGTACTTGGTGCGCTGGAAGGGACTTCCAGATAGTGAGGCGAGCTGGGAACCAGCAGAGGACTTATGGCAGTTCGGGGACCAGATCAGGCAGTACCATGCAGAAGACGCAACGAGCGCGTTGCGCAATCAGGTGGGGGAGAATGTCACGCCCTGGGCGGGCGCGCCAGGCACATCAGGCAGACCAACAGGCAAGCCAGGGGTTGAGGCCCGCAGACCAGGCGTGCTGGCGGGTATCTGTGCGCAAAGCCTAGTAAACGAGTTCAGAACGCCCGCCCGACTTGCAGGCCAGCCCATGAGACCAAGGCCTGGCATACAAGCTGCCCACACCACATCCAGAAAGGCCCAAGGTGCTGGACACGCAAGGGAAGCTTCTAGAACCAGACAGGATCAGCAGCAGCATCCTGGCAGATTTGGTTGACCCTGAAAATCAGGAGTTAGCATCCTGATTGATTGTAATCCCATGATTTTAGCCTTTATTCTAGGGATATGCCATTAAGTTGTAGCTGGAGCCTCAACTATAAATAGAGGGCCGCTCCACCCTCATTTGTACACCATCAAACACTTCTGTTTCAGTGAATACAAGAGCATTTTCAGAATTCTGTCTTGTTCATCCTGTTTCTCTTTAACTTGCGTAATCAGCCCTTCCCATTGTTCTAGTGCCCGCACGCTTGTGTTTTAAGCTGACTTCGGCACAAAGGAGGAGATTCCAAGCCTAAGGCCGCACGGATTCTGAGTCTAAGGTCGGAGCCCGTGACACAGGCACCTTCGAGTGGATTGGTGGAGCAACGAGTAGAATCAAGGAATAATGGTGACCAAGAGGAAGGTTATGGGGCCCTAAGTTAGCCGGAGAAAGGCCCTGAGATGGCTGGAGAGAAAAGTGTCCCTATTTCAGACAATCTTACGGTTACTGGTAGGAGATTGGGAAAATCTCTTACGCTCTTTATAGAGGGATGACTGGTGTCAGCTCTCCACCACCCCCTTGGCTAGCGGGCAGGCAAGGGCCTAGCTAATCTCAAGTGAGCTACTCCTAGGCACTAGTGGTGTCTAGGTGGGCGGGCATCGTAGGGTCACGCGCGTGGCACGATGTTTCCTCGGGTCATGATAAACCCGGGGACGGTTGGGGCCGACGGATCTCGTATCGCGCCTTTGCGTTGAGCCATGGGGTTACATGGTAAAATTCGCTATGCCCCTCGGTTTCCCCTCCTTGAGCCGAAGGATCATAAGATGCTGTTTGCGAAAGAGGGACGCCATCGAGCCTGAGGGATGTGCGGGCTAGCAGGCAGGCACGCTGCTAGACCCTTGTGGCTAATCGGTAGAGGTGTGTTGCAGCTGGGGCAGTCCACCCAAGTCCCCCTTGTGGGACTAGCATGATGTTGGGTGTCAATCATGCGTGCGGGCAGTCTACATAGAAGCTAAGGGCCTAAGCCCTAAGAACCGAGTCCCGTGGGATGAGATGAGCCTAGAGGCTCCGACTTGGCTGCTGACTAGCTTAAGTGTGGCACTCGTGTAAACTTGATACGAGAGTTTGCGTACGATACGAGCGGGCATGGCGTTGGGTTCTCACCATGTCAAGAAGTAATAATATCATGAGAACCGGGGCTATGTGCCCCACGGGTATTCGTGGGTCGGTGCTCGAGACCTTAAGCCCTACGGGCAAAGATGGGTGCTCGGGGCCACTTTGAGAATCGTGGGCTGATGAGTGATGAGAGTTGGGTTCCTCCCTATAGAGTTCAGAATGAGCAACCCTACGGGGTCAAAGCCAGAAGAGACTCTTGAGTAAGCAGCTTGAAGGATCGAAATTAAGCTGTCCAAGGAAAATTAGACTTGAGGGAAAGCTGACCTCGACTACGAGTAGTCTTGGTGCTGCACAGAGGCGTGGTTTCAGAATGAGGAAGGCACAGACCGTGACATTGTGCTTGTGTTGAATGCATATTATGTATATTTTAGTGGGTCTAATTGGGTGGGTGGCATATGTGTGCACGCATGCATGCTTTTGTGCGTGTGTATGCGCATGTGTATGAGAGAGAGAATGAAGTTAAGGACATACTGAAGTGCCAAGGGCATAGAAACTAGGTGAGGAGCTCCTGCATAGAAGTGCAGACCGGGATCAGAATGCAGAAACAATAGCACAATCAAGATGAACAAGAAGAAAAAGGTTTGTAAGAGAACACATCAACCAAAGGTGAATCTTAGAGGGCAAGGGCAACAAATAACATGCCTTAGGCAACCAGGGCCAGGGGGAAGGGGGAGGATATGTTACAGTAAACTGTCATGAGTAAAGCTCCTATAGTAGAGAGTAGATTTTTCATAAAAAAATCTCTCTTTCCATCCTCAAACATGAGTCATACATTTTCACTCACCAAGGTTGAAACTTGCAACTACTTTTGAGGTTTGATTACTATTTACTACAGTAGACCATCATCCGGGAAAAAAAAAAGATAAAATTCAAAGAATGAGATGGATGGTAGCACAGCACACACAATTTGACTCGGGTAATAGAATGGAATTGCAGGATTAACCCCTGTTCGGAAATGGAATTGCAGGTTTCAATGTCATGTACTTATGAATTACACCAGGAGTGTTGGGAATCATCATCAAAGTGCCAGAACTTAAATAAATTTATTATTGGCAATGTGACTTTTATCTCCTAGTTCTTTCTCTCTATAATTTACTTCTTTATTTATTTATTTATTTTTTTGTTCAGGATTGTTACTTCAATTCACATGAATATAGATATTTGTTCAGGAAGATAGATTTGATTAAATGACATAAAACCACACCACGTTCTATCTAGCTTGAATCTTATAAAAGATACTAGCAGTTGTGCAAATGCCAACCAATGAAAAGTCTGTAGTTGCTTTGCCCTAATGGTTCAAGATTTTGAAGTTGTCTTGGATTCTTGAAAGTTTTTGAGTTGAAAACATTAAATAAATAAATAAAAACACAAAAAAAACAATAATTTATGTCGTAAAAGTGGATCTTTTTATTAATGTAGAAGGAAGTGCATGTTCTATGGTAATAAAATAATAATTAACACATGTCCAACTTGCTAATATATTTGAGTGTATTACCAAAAGAGAGGCGAGCTCCACATCAAGAAAAGGATAAAGCAGCAAACAATGAGGTGATGAACCACTTATTGCCAAATTTTAGCATCTTCAATCATGACAACAAGAACATATTACATTCCGCTGTTTGTCCATTGTGAGGGGGCTACACAGGCCATGATGATTAAAGTGAACAGAATAAGAATCTCAGATTTGAAGCACTCACTGTGGCAACTTAATGTGCAAAGAATAAGAATAACAACTTTGAAGCATTCAAAGTGGGAACTTAGCATGCAAAGAATAAGAACCAGGCATATAATTGGAGAAATGGGAGCATTTATTCTAATTTTAATATTATAATATTGATAGTGTTATTAGAATAATAGCAGAATGACAAGAATGAAGAGGTATGAACCTCATCACATAAATGATAACTCACTAGCATTAAAACAAATGCCAAATAACACAAAACCCTGCAAAAGCAAAGTACAGTATACAAATCAAACTGTAATATCATCTGGAGGGAAGAAATCACTGAGAAAAAGTATGCAGGATAACAAAAGTTCAAATCAAAGATACTTTAAAACAAGAAAAAAAAAAAAAACCACGAATTGTTAGTCAGTATCATTTGCAGATAGATGTGTTACCTCTATTTATTTACTCTTTCATCTCTGGTAGAGTTGCAACATCAAGGCAGTTACCTGCATATTGCACAATTATATCAATTAAAAGTCTAAGATGCAAACCAAGATGGTTGCATTCTACAAGTTGAAGAAGCTATGTTAACTAATCAAACAATTGTTTAGTGCTCTGAAACCCTCAAATATAAAATACTTTTTATTTAGCAATTATACAAAAGCAATTTCTGTCATACACAATTAATGTGTTGAAAAAAATTCAAATCATCCTCCTGGATACTAATTAAACCCAAAGATATCCTAAAGATCTTAACAACTTATTTATCAACTTCAAAGATCAGTTGTTGAGGCCTAAATTGCTCAAAGCAGTATATATTTCTTGAGTTCTTAACAGCACTGGATATCTCAGCAAAAATTTCAACTTAAATCTCGGAATGCTTAGAGACTCTTTTTCGAGTTTCTTACCATGCTTAGCATCTCCTCAATCAGATTGTTATTCTCTTTTCTTTACATTTAATTGGCATTCCATTAGAGAACAAACTAGAATAGACATTTTTTCTTTCATACTGAAAGATTCCATAACCTTGCTTTTTGTACGAATCTCTAATGTCAGTGTGACAGAATTTCTTCTCCTAAAGCCTAAGGTAAAACATGGACGAGTAACTTTATTGTTTCACGCAAATTAGAGAAAGACCTAGAATAGACATTTTATCTTCCATATTTGCAAGATTCCATAACCTTTTTTTTTGTACTAATCTCTAATTTCAGTGAGACAGAATTTCTTCTCCTAAAGCCTAAGGTGCAACATGGATTAGTAACTTTTTTGTGTCGTACTTTTTCTAATACACCGGTGTCCTGTTTCTTTACTATGATAATTTCTTTCACATAAAAATGTACCGATAACTATAATAGTACTTTCCCTGAGATATGGCTTCATGTATTAACTTTGAAAATACCATGCTATTCATCTTTTCAATCAAATAGGCATCCTTTTTGTTCCTGTGATAAATGCATCTATTTAATAACATACTATGACCAATGCAACTATGATTGGAATGGATGCTTAAAAAAAGTTGACTAACTTTTAAAAGCTTCTATAATACTAATTACAATTTCTTATGCAAAGATGATAACCAAAGTAGAGGCTAGAGATCAATTAAATGATCTTACTAACCATTTATTTTAATGTTTAAATTCACAAAATAGTCTTAATTCCATGACAACAGAGTGTAAACCTTAATCAATAGCATCAATCAAGATAATTATAAATACACCTCACAATTTTACATTATATTATAATATCTACAAATACATCAAATCTTGATTCCTAGGTTTTTTTCAAGCAAAAGGAGCACCTAGAGGATAACACACCTACACCAACAACTCTCCTCAACTTTTGGGGTGAAAATAACTTTAACGGCCTCAAATACCTCTTCAACGGGCTTTGCAGCATCAATCTAAAGGCCAAAACAACAACGTTTAAGTTGAGGTGAACACTCAAATCATTCAAAAAACAACAAAACAGTTCAGTGGAACAGTATTTCACCTCTTGAACCTTGCCCTTGGCCTTATAATACTCAATTACAGGAAGACTGGACTCTAGAAACACTTTAAATCGCTTCCTTATTGTTTCAATGTTATCATCTTCTCTTCCCTTCATTACCGAGAAAATGAAAAATAGTTTAAAGAACAAAAAAATGACACGAGAGAGGAAACAAGGAAATTGTCTAATTCAACCAATGGATATCTATTAGAGAGGAAATCATCTAACCTGGTTTCTATTCAGAATTCGCCTCTCCAATTCTTCCTCAGGACAATTAAAAAACAGGACAAATTCTGGCTCGATTTTGGTCTGCAGAGCCACCAAATTTTCAGCATGTTAGAGAAATCATTTTAAACTCTTTGCTTTAGTTAGAACACCTAAATGAATGATGGTGAGAAGACTAGAAAAAACAAATGCACATGGACATAAAAAATGAATACTAAATGTAGGAACAAAGATTAATAGCCTTACAACAGCTTCAAATGCTGCACGGTTTTCTTCATTACGAGGAAAACCATCAATAAGGAACTTGTCTTTACCACTTTCCACCATTGCTTTTTGAAGAAGTTTAATTGTCACCTCAGAAGGAACAATCTTTCCTTCATTCATCATGTTTTGAATCATGATACTGCAGACCAGATGAAAATAACACATTCAATTAGTACAAAACTACAATAAAGAATAACAAACATGGAAAACATGCAGTTCAGTTTCAGCAATCCAACAGTGATGTGCCATTAGAATTTAAATAGAATAGATGATGGAAACAAGCCTATAGAAAACTAGCAAGGATACAAGTTATTTTTGTCTAAATGATAGCTAGTTAAGGTTTAACTTAAAACAGTCAATAATCCTCATGTAAACAGTCGTATTTTGGAATATCTAAACAGATCTCGAAAGGAACAAACTATACACGATGTGCAGAAACTATTGACACATAAAGAGGAGAATCAATCATCAGCAGCAACGTTTTTCTCAATCCTATACACAAAAAAAAAAAATTCGCAGATTTCATAAAAAGATGCTAATCTCAAATCTGTCTAGACTTCAGATAGAAATGAATGCATGTCATACTTTTACAGGGAAGATATGTCATACCCATTTTCAGAACCAGAGTTTTTCTCCGCTCGGAGAAGATCTCCAGCACTCAGATGGGTGTAACCAAAGTGTTGGACAATTTTTGCACACTGAGTACCTTTCCCACTACCCGGACCACCTTATCAAATCAACAACAAAATTAACTGGCTGAGAAAGGTAAATCCAAACTAATAACAGTCACAACAAAAGCAAAGAAAAAAAAAGGATTACCTAAAACAAAAACCACTTTTGGTTTTTTCTCAGCCAAGCTAAAAGTTAAGTCCTGCATTTAGGTACTTTATTCATAAGCTGATGTTATCTGAGAAAAATGATTCCATGGCAAAGGATTCCTTTTTCCCTCATTTTAATAACAAATGCATCAACAGAATAAATTCCATCACGTGTATTACCTTGTTGGCGGTATCTGCAGTTCCCATTTGTAAAATACTGTCTTCAAAGCCTCTGCGTTTAAACTGCATTAGAAAAAAAAAAAAAAAAAAACATAAATAACTGAATAAGCAAATACAAATACATAACTAGGGCAAACAAATCACACTTAAAATATATGAAATGAAACAAATTCATCATTTGCATTAAAAACCTTCCAAATACAAAGCGATTATCTGTTTAATTTCCACACAAGTTTAAAATTAGTAAAAAGAAACTAACTTAAAGCCTACACGTTTAAACTGAATAAATCCAAAAGAAGCAAAAAAAGAATAAGCAAATACAAATATAATTTACTGCAAATAAATCATTCTAATATAGTAGAAAAGGAACACATCCATCATTTCGCATCAAAAACCTTCCAAATAAATTATAAAATGCAATGATTTGTTTCATTTTCCACATACAGATTCAAAATTTATGATTAGATTGGTAAATTTGCAAACAAAGTAGATGAAATATATACAGATGCAGACTTTAAAACAGTAAAAATAAAAGTTAAAGTCGCCAATTCGATAAATTCCAGATTAAAGTCAAACGTGATTAAACAACCATAAAAATTAAACAATTCAAATCAAAATTAGCTGATCAACTCCATTGCAAAGATTTAAATCAGAAAATAGCTTGGGGCCAAGTATGGCTGCAACTAAAATCACCATGAAGAAACCAGAGACAGAGAAAGACAGAGAGACAGAGAGAAGGGAAAGCTTTACCTTGTAGAGGAAGGAGAGAAGGGAGGGAACGGACAGAAATTGATCAAAAAGGCAGACGTGACTTTTAAATAGACCTCGCCATCTAAAATAGGACAGTACGACACCGCATGAAAATCATTAAAAAAAAAAAAAAGAAGAAATTACGGTGTCATATTTAATATTTTAATAAAAATTATATATAAATTTAATAAAATAAAAAATATAATTAACATTTTTTATGAATATAAATTTTAAGAAATAAATTTTTATAAAAAATTGAATGAACATATGAATTATTAATATTTTATATTATATAAATTCACAAACACCTACACAATGTTAAGTAACAAATAAATTTTGGCTTTTCAATTTAAAATTTTAATTTTTCAACTCAAATAAATTTTTTTTCTTAAAAAGTGTTTTTGTGGTGAAAAACAAATAAAAAATTACTTTATTACCTCTATATTTTTAATATTTTATTTTTTAGACATTTTGATTACTTAAAAATATTTTTTCAGAGTAATATCAATTTTTCATCACATTTTTTAAACGTACTTTCTATCTAAATTTTTTGAAACCATAACAACAAAACTAAACTAACCCTTAATAAAAAAAACTTCTATTTGCATCTTCCTTTTGCTTAATACACCTAATTTTTTACTACAAAAAAATTTTCATATGAAATTACTTAAATAGTTTTTGAAAGATTATTTTTAAGTCTTTTCATACACTTATTTGTTAGTGGATATGCATTTTCATAAATTAAAATAGTACCCAATATATATGATAATATTATTACCTTATCAAAAATGTAAATTTAATAATATAAAAAATTTATCGAAGGTACATATCCAATATCAAAAGACACTTGCTAGGTATTTATATTCAGTAATTGAATTCACTTCTTAACTTTTCCCCTTCATCCTTCTCCATCTTTCCATTTTTCCCCAAGGCAAAGAACTTTCTCCACCCGTCATCTCTTCGTACTTCCCTCAAATCGCTCGATGTCGCACCAAATGACAATGGTAGCAATCATAGTGTTACAGGCTTAGTTAAATCGAACTTGTGATTGTTGGTTTTGGTTTGCTATTTTATTTTGCTTGTTCAAGCCTGTGTTTTCCAGGCCCTTTATCTCCTTTTGTTAGCATTTGTTAGTATGTTGCTAGAGCATACAAGAATGAGATGCTGCTGCTATCTGAGAATCTCGGATACAACTAGAAGTTGTTTGTCCAACATAGGCTATGGGATATTATCAGGCATTATGCAGTTATATGGAAAATGAAATGAATTCTCTCTCTTTTTGAAATTCTTGTCTTCTCTAATCCTTTAATCTTAGCTTCTTCCAATAGAATTCTTCTTTGTTCTAAGCTCATTCCCAGTTCTTCTTTTGTATTTTTTGAAAATTTCTATAAGCTTTCATAAACTAATTTTGAGCTTGCAAAATTAGTATTAGAGCTTTGATATTGGCATGGATGTACAACAATTGATGGCACACCTAAAATCCAAATTGAATAGTGCATTTGATCGTTTGTAAGCAAAAATTTGATCCGACCTAAGAAATATTCGATCTTACATGAAAAATTTTACTACTAATTGTACTAAGGTGCTCGACCATCTGTCTGCAAGATTGGACAATGTTAGTAAAATGCTTAATGAATATAAGGCACATATGGAGGAGAAATAAGAAGCTGAGCAGAAATCATCCATGGTAGCCACCATCCTCTCGCTTTTGTCATTAACTACTGATCTTGTAATGACCAGTGAGTCCTTACCTTCATTTATTGGGGTTAGTTTAGTATCTCAAGGGTTGAATGAAACTAAGGTTAATGAATTAAATTGTTTAATGGTTATTAAACATGGTGAACACTCAATTTTGGGTCTTTTACGTTAAAAATATGCAGCCTTTTATTGAATGGAATAGGTTTATGTCAATTGGGGTAGTATGCAATGAAAATTTTGCTAAACCTTCCTTGTTGAGGGTTGTTAAAGAGAATGGGAAGCTTGTAATGGCTTACTCAATAGTGTTAGGGGCTGGGAAAAGGTTTATTGTTGTCATTGATCCCTATAGATTTGGGCTTTTGATTATGGAACAAAGAAGTAATGATGCCTAGAGACAGACCACCAAGGATGCTAGCATTGTTGTTGGGCTAAATGTGGTAAGGATTAGCAATGAACCAATTACAGCTGTCATTTCCTATGGGTTAAACAAGAAGGGTGGTGAGAAAAACATTCTTGTCTTTGACTTTGGTGGGGTAACAATCAATGCCAACATCTTCTCAATTAGTAATGGTGTATTCGGGGTTTTTTTCATAAATAAAGACACTCATTCAGGAGGTGAGGATTTTTATTAGAGGGTTCTAAAATATTTGGAAGAGAGTAAGATCAAGGAAGTGTCTTATGAGTGGCAACTCATCAACAAGCAAAAACCAATCTAATTGTATAAACCAGAGGAGATAACTAAGGAGAAGTATGTCTCTTCCATAGGAGCTTGACTAATGATTAAGAAGAGCACCTTGTTGTTAAGCACTTTTTTTATTAAAGGTCAGCTTGAGTTCAAAAATATTCTAATTGTACCAAAAGAGCTCCATTTGATCTTTTTAACGCTAGGAAAAAGAACAATAAGCTTTATGTTAGGAGGTTGTTCATTATGGACATCTGTAAGGCGCTTCTCCTCGGATACCCAAGATTTGTGAAAGATGTTGTTGACTCGAGTGACTATGAAGACTTGCCACTCAACATTCTTAATTAGATGCCATAATAGAACAAGATTTTGAAGGTGATTAGGAAGAACCTTGTAAGGAAGTGCATTGAAATGTTTAATGAGATTGTTGAAAACAAAGAAAGATATGGGCTTAGAGAGATACAAAAATGATGAAAAGATGAGGCGAGATAATGTCTACTTACTCTTCATGAAGAAGGATTAATGTTGCAGGCAGGCTTGATAAATTCTTGATCCAATTTTTGAAAGGGCAACTAATGCCTACAGTCATAGCCAGGAAAGTGGTACCCCTACAATGCATATGATGATGCATTTACAAATAAGATATGAGAAATATGGAAATTTTTGTTCCATCCCACAGTATTTTTTGTACTCTGATTCAATTTCTCTTCATGGTGGAATTTTGGTTCCATACTATCTTGATGAAGCTACATAATGGTATTTGTTTTTTGCAACAATTCTAAAAGAAATTCATCGACCATCTCAGCTTGTTTGGGAAAGGGAACATGCGTTCGTTGATACAATAGGTTTGAGTTGTGTAGAAACTTCTAATAAAGTTAGACAATTTCTTCTTGTTGGGCCACATGAATTGCACTTTGAAATTACTCACCATCTTTTAAAAAAAAAACATATATCTTAAGCAATTGAGTTCAACGTCATTATCTTCTATATAACAAGGGTGGTAGCATTATTGATGTAATTGCTTATTAGGAAGTTGATTATCCACTCCTTTAGGATCAACAACAATGATGAAAAGCTTTGCTATGTCTTTGGGGAGCAAGTCAAATATGGTGGTGGAACTGGTTTTAATGTCGATAACATTCATTATCATAGGATTCCATCTACTAAATAAGTTGTTACTAATGAAATTCTGGAACTAAAAGGTGTCACTAATGCTCCAAAGGAAAAGACAGCACTTGTTTTCTACAATTCATCTTTGAGGACAAGGATGTTTCGAGGCAGGAATATTGTTACAGGCTCAGTTAAATTGGACATGTGTTTGCTGTTTTGGGCTTGTTACTTTATTTTGCTTGCTAAGGCCTATGCTTTCCAAGGCCCTTTATTTCCTTTTGTTAGCATTTGTTAGTATGTTGTTAGAGCATGCATGAATGAAACGCTACTACTATCCGAGATTCTTGGATACAGCTAAAAGCTGTTAGTCCAACATAAAAGAAGGGCTATAAAGCATTATGCGATTATGTGAAAAATGAAATGAATTCTCTCTCCTCTCTCATTGAAATTCTTCTCTTCTCTAATCCTCTAATCTTATCTTCTTATAGAATTCTACTCTGTTCTAAGTTCATCCCCTATTCTTCTTCTGCATTTTTTTGAAATTTTTTTTAAGCTTTCATAAACTAATTTTGAGCTTGCAACACACAAGCTCTTGATGATTGCATTTCACGTAATATCTGGCTTCCAATAATAGGGAATTTTTTAGAAATGGAGAATTAGAAAATGATGCTTCATTCTGTTAAAGAGAGTAGGAAGAAGTAAGGCAAAGGTTTCCTTGATATGGTATTGAGCAATTAATAAGGTGCGTTTAGGTAGTCAATGCATTGAGCAATGGGAGGGAAGCCCGAAGAGGTGGCGGGTGGATAAGATATTTGGTGTAGGAGAAAAATAGAGAGGAGATGGAAAAAGATAAAGGAAAAGAGTAAATAAGTAATTTTAATTACCGGATATGAATATATATTTATATATATGATAAATGTCTTTTGTTTTAGGATATAGATATTCCATAAATTCTTAATGTTATCAAATAAATATATTCGATAATGTAATAATATTATCAAATATGTATATTCGATATGTATTTTAATTATTGAAAGTACATATCCAATGACAAATGAGTATATAAAAAAATTAAAGCATAGTTTATTAAAAAATAATTAAATAATTTCGTATAAAAATATTTTTGTAAATAAGCATGGGACGTGTTGAGAAAAAGAGAGTGCAAACAGAAGTTGGTTACTTAATAATGATCAAATCCCTTCATGAAATATTATTGTCGTAACATAGAAAAAAAAGATGAATCATTGCTACATTAATGTCTAATACAAGTATTTAACTAGATCACTTAATTTTAATGTGGCCATGTCTACGTATGTATTATCTAGTCAGTAATAATGCGTAAGCTCCATGTACTTTTGTGGTCATGCCTACATGTTTTTAGATTGTTTTTTTCTTATTCTTTCTCTTAAAAACTAAATCTTAAATGAAATAAAAAAATAAGTTAGACATAACTACGTAGATATTTGGGCTTTATCAACAACTGAGATTTGCAGAGAAAACGACGTATCCCAATGTAAATAAATTATATCAACAACCCAACTACCATTGTAGGCTGCAGCCCATTTTTCTTGATTATTTTTCCTCGGCTTCCTTGATTCGGCTGCAACCCAACTTTGACAACCTTTTGGTTATTCCAAAATAGACTATTGGATTTGGTATAGTATTCATTTTACTCCCATGACTTTCCTCCATTACTACAAGTTCTCTTTATCTTCATAATCAAGATATTGAGGCTGCATTCTGCTTGTTTTTTTTTTTTTAATCTAAGGGCAGATTATTTGTCACTACTAATTATTCTTATTCTTATATCGACGTTTAAATAGGAAGAAGAAAAAGTTTATCTTCATCTAGAAGATCATCAAAATCCATATGCAAAACGTGATCGTAGATGTACCTTAATTCGGCATATGCGAATTTGTTTTTGTATAGAATTTAGAATGGTCAAAAGTAAACTGTAAGCAGTCGGCACGCATAGCATATACAATTGTGGACAACATGGTATAAAAGTTAAAAGAATTCTACAGAAAAAAAAAAGTTAACTACGAGACAAAATCAATGGAACAATTTACAATTCGTTGTCATTTTCATGGATGCTACTCTAGAAGGTGCAAGGAAATTAAAAAAAAAAGAAAAAAATTGGAATTTAGCATAGTTTTTTTTTTTTTTCCTATGCTTTTGGACTTCTTTTCTTTTTCATTGTCCCTAAGAAAATGTTCAAATTGATCAACGAGGAAATCTATGATTAAATTAAAAGAAGGATTTGGAGTCTTTGGAAAGATGTCATAGGATTCTTTCCTTTTTTTTTTTTACTCACTTAATTTTAATTAGTATTAATTTTTATATCTATGCAAGCTTATTTGGAAAGAAATGTTTTAGTGAGAGAATTCTTAATTTTATTCCTGATAAGGCAAGAAATATCGAATAAACAAAAAAAATCGAAAGAGTAGAAATATTTTTTATGCAGTTGCCGGCTAGTCAGGGAGAGAGTATCTTCAATAGTAATTTCTTCATAATAAAGAGTAGGTCCAAATGTACAAATTTGTATGGGTCCTTCACAGCGTCAATTGAAAAGGAGAATTGATAAAAATAATAAACATCATTAAAAATCAAGATTGGAATTTGAAAATTTTATCATGAAATCATTTTAAATTTAAATTTGTGAAGAGGATTAAGAATAAAATGAGCACAATCACTAAAACTTTTAATTTTATTATTTACTCAAGATTCTTAAGTTAGGCTTTCTATATAAAAATATTATTATACCAAAAATATTAAATACAATATAATTTACCAATTCTTACCAAAAAAACATATCCTCAAAAATGTTATTAGTATCGTGCTATATTAAAAATGGAAAGGATTTGAATATGGTATAATTTTTTAAAGAATTTTCTTTTCAGAAAAATATTTAACTCATCAAGTGTATATTTATGTAGGCATTATTGATAAAATATTAAAATTTTAATTTTAATAATAAAGTTCAGTATCTGACAAACTTATTTATAAAATATATATTTATGTATATTAAAAGATTATAAATTAATGAATATTTATACATATTAAAAGTATGAATAACAAAAAATTAAGTAAACATGGCAGGTGAGCAAAGACAAATGAAGACCGAGGAGTCCCAGGCTCAATTACTCCCCAACTCTTTCTTAAACAGGTAGGGATATTTATTCTTCTTCTTTTCCTCCCTTCAAATAACTAATCTTTGCTGTCGACTAGGAATATTCAATTCGTAATATTTTCAACACGTTGAATCATATTTTAATTATGTGGGGAAATATGAAATAAATTGACAAAGATTTGTATAGTAAGTATGATTATGATTGACAGTTCAACCCGTAATCAATAAATTTCGATCCGATTCGATCTTATAAGATTTATTTAAAAAAAATTAAATTTCATGTGGGATAGAATCGTGTATTATTAAAGAAAAATCGAGTTCGAATCGAATTCAGATTTTAAATAAATTCGATTCGATATTATATAAAAAATTATTTTTTAATTATTTTTTTTAATTTTTAATTTATATATTTATATATTTATATTTTAAAAATAATATTTTATTAATTTTAAATTAAATATAATTTAGTAATATTTGATCAGATCGAATTTATGTATAAAAAATTAAAAATTTTATCAAATCAAATCAAATTTAAATTTATAATTATAAAAATTAAATTAAATTCGAAACTAAAAAAATCTATCGTAACCCGATTCTTTGTCAACCCTGATATGACTGTTGCCTAAGCTGCCGACTTGTCATGTTTATTCAAAACCCTGTAAAATTTATAAAACAACCCTAGGAGTTTTTTTTTGTTTTTAGCACAAACACCAATAAGAATTATAAAAAAAAAAAAAGAAAATCCAAAGAAAATCTCACTATATCAAATGTGCATTTTTATTCAATGAGACTTTTCTCCCATCTTTTTCCATACCTACATCTATCCTACTAGTTAGAGGTTTACAATAGTACAATATCCCTACCCTGCCTTGGCCTCGGATCCAACGCCGCTTCCGGTACTTTTTCCCTCTGGACGACTGATGCCATTTCGGGTAGGCTTTACATCCGGCAATCCAATTGCGTCTCCGGCAGCTGCGATCTCCATCTCAGCTGCTTTCACCTCCTCTCGGAACTTTTTGTAAATGTCACTTCTATAAAATTTTCTTGTCCTGAGTGCCAAAATCAATGATACAAAAGTGCCAAACAGTGTGGCAGCTGTGATTATAATGAAGGACAATTTGAAGCACTCAACCCCATTGCAATCCAGATCCTCACCGGCCTTCCTTACTCTTCCCAAAGCAGCCATTTGCTTCTTAGCCTCTTTATCGTACAAATTCCCAGCCACTTTCACATTAAGTACGTAGGACCCAATAGGGCTGGCAACTGATCCAAAATTGTACAACGTAGAATAGTACTTGAGGCCAAATATTTCAGAAATTATAGCAAAAAGTAATGGCCATTGAGCCCCAAAGCAGAACCCAATGATTACTGATGCAATATAAAGGCCACCAGGGACACCGAAGGCTATGAAAAGGTGACCAACACATGAGAAAAGCATGATAAGGGTGAGCATTAGAGGTCTAGGAAACTTGTATTTAGACAAGAAAATTTCTGATACGAAACCTGATGTAACTCTGCCAAGATAATTCCATATACTCACAAGGGATACGAATGTGCTTATGCTTCTTTTAGGGTACCCCAAGGAGGTTCCAATCTGTCCCAGATTGTCAATTGCTGTTAAGGTACCCCCAACGCCACAAACTGTGGCCAGGAAAAGAATGAGCATGTCAAGGCTGAAAAGTGCCTGCAAAATTGTGTAGTCTTCCCCTCTGTTTGGTGCCTTGAATGCTGTTTTCCAGCAGGAAACATTGGCTTGATCATTGCTTGACTCGTTATAGGCTAAAATCTTTGCTGTGCTTGATGATGAGGGAACCTCAAGGTTCTCCTTGGACACCTCTGAACTTGGCTTCTCGGTGACAATTTTCAATGGAGAAGGGTCATTTAAGGCCTTATTCTTGGCCTCCCAAAGCTTGTATTCTTCTATAATCACAACACCAAGTGGCAAAAACATCAAGAAAAGAACCATGGCAGCACTGCCACCATATTCAGGCTGTGTGAACACAAATTTTTTCTCTACAATGATAATAACCATCAGGAAAGAAGCAAGACCAAGGGAGATGTAGAGAAATTTGTAGAAAACTTTGAGCTCGTTCGCCTGGTGAGCCACCTTCATGATCCGAATTGTTCTGACAAAACAAAGTGAGATAACAGCCGGAAGCCAGCCAATAAGCAAAATCAAGGCCTTAGAATCATCACCATGAAAAGCATGGTACAATTGAGTTATAATTGCACCACTCAGGCCAACATAACCTTTCAGGATTCCCAGCACAACGCCCCTGCTTTCGGGGAAATTCTTGACACAGGTAACAAGAGATCCAGTGTTGGCAAAAGATTGAGAATTGGCACCGATACAAATGTACAAACACATGTGCCAAACTTGAGGTCTAGCTATTCTTTTGGTGACGGCCAACCAAATCATGAAGTACCCAAAAAAGTTGAGGACTGCCCCAACCGATAGAACGAACCAGGGGGGTGTGACCTCTGCTATCAGGCCTGAAATGACTCCAACATTGCTGCCTAAATCCTTGAAGAAACTGAGCATATTGAGGGTGGTTTGATCATATCCAAGCGATGTTTTAATGTCAGTGGAGTAGAGGCTAAACATGTAGGTTGCACCAGCGGCAGACATGATCAACAACGATCCGAAAACCATTAGCCATGGCCCTGTTAGGATATGAAAAGCAAAGCTCTTCATGTTTGGCATGCCACCACTTCCAAAACCTGGCCCTGCAGCCACCATTTTTGTAGCTCTCTTTTTCTGTTTTTTTACCTGAAATAGTACTGTTTCAACAAGATTGATGTACTTTTAGAGTTTGTTTGGGAACTTGTCGCTTAATATACAGAGAGGGAAAAAAAAGTTTGAGTGGACATGCATGGGAAGAAAGGATTGAGGATAAAAGAGTCTTTGGATATACTAAATAGTTGCCTTTGAGAGTTTGTCAAGGAAATTTGAATAAATTATAAATTAGAATTTAGAAATAAAAACACGGGTTAAACGTAAATGAAATGTAGAGGAATTTGTGGGTAATTCCAAAAAAAAAAAAAACTCTGTTTGAAATCTTATCCAAAATTAAATTTTATTTACCATAATGGTAAAGATTGGGAGTTTTTGCCTTATTTTTTACATGTCAGTAAATCCAAAAAAAAATTTTTTCCTTTGCTCGAAATCTCATCCAAAATGAAAATTTTTTTACCATAACAGTAAAGATATGGGAGCTTTTGCCTTACTTTTTACATGTCAATTCCAGGAATATTGATTAGACGCCAATTTGGACACAAGGCTTTTATTTTATTTTTTTTTTCTCTGTCTTGTTCCGTTTCTTTCCCACTTTCTTGTTCATTCACATTTTGGAGATGGAGCGTGAGAATGGGATGATGGAAATTGTGATGGGATACAGATCAGTGTCACCCCCCTCCGACTATAACCTTTGCTGTTATATGGGCGTGGCAGTATTCAGATAGTATAAAATATTGATAATTAATATATTTATATGTCATATTTTTATAAAAGTGATGTATCACAATATAAAAAATATATTTTTTAATTTTATTAAATTTATAAATAATTTTTATTAAAATTTTAAATTATATTAATTTTATAATTTTTTATTATATTATAACATCACGTTTTAAATTATTAAGTCTACTGTTATAATAACAGCCATAATTTTTTTTCATTTAGTCACCCAGCAGGGTAGCCTTAGCACACATAACTTTTTTTATATCGGGATTATGTTCAGATTTACATTTGAATTATTAGTTAATATTAAATTTGGTTAATGCCTATGCAAACTTTATAGTATTGGAAAATGTCCAACATCATAAGGGTTGTAATAAAAGTTTGAATCAAAATTCAAAATTAATAGATTGATAAAACTTGTTATTATATTTAATAAATAGTTATTTATATTATTTTTATCTATTTATTGAAATTGTACCAAAATCATCAATTTTGATATTTTATTTAAGCTTTTATTTAATTATTTTAACAAAAAATTCACAAAAATTCATTAATTACGGATGGAGCCTAATTTATCTTGTCCATATTTTGACCATGACTCCTACAAATTTAAAAGGAAACTTAATTAGGGTTAAATAAAAAATTAATTTGTATTACTGAATTTTGATTTAATAACAAAAAATATGTCATTAAATTTTGAAATTTAAATTTAATTTTTATTATACATGAATTTAATTCAATTTTATATTGTACTTATATAATTATGTATTGATCCGTGACTTATATAATTGTATGATTGAGTTTAATGATTATTTTTATATTAATGTAATTTTTTATTTCGTAACTTTAAAAAATTCATTTTTATTTCGTCTTTATTCGTGAAACCTAAATGCCAATCAAGAAATAAGTCGGTAATTTCTCCTGTTTCAGCTTTTTTTTTTTTTTTTTGGCTTGGTTCTATGGACAGGGTTGTTTTCAAACTTCCCAGAAGCATTAAATACAGCTTTATCCAACCATCCGATGTAGATATATATATACATATATTTTTTTTTGGTAAGGTCAGATATTAATTTTTAGGAAAACACCATTCCTTTGAAAATGTGTTGCAATCATATCACAGCGATATTTAATGACAAAGAAGTAGATTTGATAAGTTAATTTCCTCATAAGAAAAAAAAAGTTAATAAAATTATAATAAAGCTAGCCAGATGCCATATTCTATATTAGTAAAATTATTATTAGAGCACTGTTAATTTGTCCGATTTTCATTGTCTGCCAACGAGACAGATCGACTACTCACCATTACTATATAAGTAATTAACTTAAATTTCAAGGGCTTTTTCTATTTAGAATTTTTTTTTTGTTTTTTAAATTACTACTAAAGTTTCAAATATAGTTATTTAGAAATAAATTATTTGGGTAAGGGGTTGCCATTTAACGGAAGCTTTCCTAAATACTTATTTGCCCCTGTCGACGTCGTCCATCCTTCCTTAACTGCTTGACTAACTAAAAATTTGTTAATTAATTATTTCTTAATCAAGTAATTTTTAAAGCCCTTTTTCATTATTTACATATGGTTAGTTTATTCCTTTACACAAAGGTCTAATTTATAAGCCACTTACAAGAATAAAATATGAATGATTACATTATAACACAAAATATTGAATCTGAAATCATTTAAAAAATAATCGAATCCAAAATATATAAATTTATTGATAATAGATCGTAATTATTATTTTAACATTAAACTTGTGTAATTAATAATTTTTTTTTTTTGTAAAAAAGAGTGGTTTAACACTACTTAACCAATAAGGGTTCGAGACCTAGCTAAACCATCTAAATCTTAATTAAATTATTTTAAATCTTCTAGGAACAAGGACTACATGCAGGAATTTCAAAATTACAAGAATGTACGTCAACGTTCCTTGTATTAACCGATAGGGATAGATAATGTAGCAAAACTAGATGAATGAGGTCAATGAATATTTATATATTTTTTTACAAAATAAATATGAATAGTTAAAATACATTATAATACAAATATCACTTGAATTCAGACTATTCTACGTTCAAAATTGAGTTCAGAACATAAGAATTTACTCTTCATCAATCCTGATTAACTTTTCACCGTTATAGTTGTGCATTAATATTTATAATTATGTGATTAATCCAATTAAGAGTTAGTATTTGATACACAATATAAATTTTTAATTTCGTAAATATTATTAAGAGATTGATATATTTTTTATTTTATTTTTAATTATTTTTTAATATATCATAATAGGTATGTATTACCCTTTTTAATCTTATTTGTTGAATCTAAAAATTTTACTATCAGTATATTTGATAATTTTTTTTCTCCAATTTTCAATCCATTTCCAATTCAATCTAATCCATCAAGCACTAATCTTAAAAATCATCCTAAAATCATAAGTTTCAGAATTAATCAAGTCACTAAACTTCAAATTAGAAGTAAATTGCCATTGATTTTGTTAAATTTTTGTTAAGTGTTGAATAAATTAAAATCTGAGATGAAATATTATATATGAAATTGATAATTCAAAAAATGTAAATTCAAAAATTTTTAAAAGTTTTTAGATTTATATTTCAAAATTTTTTTAAAAATACAAATATAAAAACTTAAATTTGAAAGCTTTTAAAAGATACAAATAAAATTTAGAAACTTTAAGAAACTTTTAGAAACATTTAGAATATAAATTTAGAAACTTTTAAAAGTTTTTAAAATTTTGAAAGCATTTAAAAGCTTGTGGAATCTGAAAATTCGAAAAAGTTTTCAAAAATACAAATTCGAAAACTTTCAGGGAGGGGAAAAAGAGAAAGTAAAATTTTAAATTGATAAATTAATAATATGTAAAAAATATTTAAAATGTTATTTATAATTTAAATTTGATCATACTTATTAAATGTTAAAAATTTTATTAATTTTTAGTTAAAAATATTTATCTAAAAAATATATAATAATTTATTAAATATTTTTCAAATTTTATATACTTAATTGATATAACAAAATATTTTAATTTATTAATTTTTATTTTTCTACACGATTATTTAAAACATGACATTGTTTGATAGAAAATTAAAAAAAAAAAGGGTTTAAAAATAAGACGTCAATTTGTTACACAATTTATCATATCTTAAACATTACTTGAGGTGTACTATAATTCTACGGGGACTGCTAAGGCCACTCAACTTTGTCAGCCGCTTTTAGCACCGGTTCTCTCAAAAAGCCACGTTATGTAACCTTTTTTAAGTTACAACTTGTGATGACAACGGATTTTTTGTTTGTTTCGAATTCGATCCGATTTTAAACATATAAAATTCGTATTCGTATCTGATTCAATAAATTTTTTTATTTTTAATATTCAAATTTGATTCGATTTGACATTATATAAAATCAAATCCGACTCGATCATACTTGAAATTAATAAAATATTATTTTAAATATAAATATAAAATTAAATAAATAATTAAAAAATAAATTTTTATATATATTGGATCGGGTAGGGTCGGGTTTACCTAAAACTCAATCTTGACTCGAATCATAAATTTTTTTATGTCACCTGACCTTACTTAACCCGATAATCAATTTCAAAAAAAAAAATCGATTTTAAAAAATCGAATCGAATCAAAACTTGTTGATTTCAGGTATTTTTACTTTCCTTAATTACAACTGAAAATTTTGTAGGACATTTACCCTTCTCTCAATGAAAATACACATAGTATAAAGACAAAATTATGTAAAAAGGTCGCCTTGTAGGATAACTAAAGAGAAATTTACTCTTCTTGGATTTAGAGACAACATATATATATATATAATTTTTTTAAGAACTATTTGTAAATCTAATATAAATTGTTGTTAAGATTTGAAACATGTTCTAACACTAAAATGAGATAATCTCCCTTCACTTAAACCTTTGTATAAAAAATATATTATTTAAACATTTCATATTTTTTTCATATTTATATATTATTTTGGTGTAAAATTTAAATATTAATTTATCTCTATTTTTTTTCATATTTATATATATGATTTAAATATAAGCCTGACTAGAGTTTTTATATTTTTTTAAAGAGATATAAATATATTTTCCAAAATTATCATGACATTTTTTCCTGTCTCATAAATATTATCTTAGTTTAATCTTATTTAGTAAAATTTTTTAATTTTTAGATATGTCATAAACATATATATTTAAAAAATCAAAATTTTAAAATATATTATATTTTAAATTTTTAATTAATACTGCTTTATAAACAAAGGTCAAACTTAAAAAGTTTACTTAAAAAAAATCAAATTCAAATACTAATCATGAGACATAACTTAATAATTTATGAGTTACTATTTCATATACTGTCAATAAAGCTTCTAACTTTATAAATAGAATTAAAAAAATTACAAATATTTTTTAATTAATATTTTTTTAATACATCTAAAGGGATATATACCATCTTACTAACTTCGCTTATGAAATCTAAAATACTCTATTTTCAATATATTGGATAATTTTTCAATATTTTAGTATCAACATTAAGTTAAAAGCTAAACTACCTTTGACAATGTCAAAATACTTTATGATTTAAATTAATATTTCAACTTTCTTATTTTATATTCATATTACTTTAGTTGATTTCTTATTCAAAAATATTTTATTAGCTAAACAAAAAATATTCAGCAAAAAATTATATATAAATGCACTAGATTTAGATTGTAAACTAATTGAAATAAAATTGAAATGAAATAGAAAAAATTTAAAGTAATAGTGCAAAAATATGGTATACTCTAGAAAATTAACCAGTTCACTACCTGTCTACCTTAGTGAACTGTGTATATGACTAGCCCAAGAAAAAGGAAAAAGAACCAGTGTATATGAAGGGTAGTTTAGTCTTTATGATAAATTCTTAAGAGTAATGATTGTTTTTGCCAAAATTTCTTAAAAATACAAATACCTTTACTTGCGGCAAACAAGAGAGAAGTTTACCGGAAAGAAACTCGGGTGACAAGTTTGAGTTTCAATTTGTAGGATGACGTGGACTTTTAAATTGTTCGAGTGTCGTAGCGGATGTGTAGAAATGAGTGTCCCTAGCATTCGCCATAATTCTATAGAAAAAAAAAAAAAAAAAAAAGAAAAAGGTTGATGTTAATTTCCCAATTGAAGATTCCATTTGGAAAAGTATTTGGAGAAGGTTACGTATCAATGGCAAAACCGAATGCCAAATGGAACTTTGAAAACTGGGAATTAGGGCTTTTCCCCCGATGCCATGGTCTGTATTTGGTACAAAAATATGAATAAATTGAATGAATCTAGCAGTTCCAATTTAAACCAACCTCTGTGGGAATACTTTAAAAACCAAGTAAGATATGGTAGTAGTTTTTTTTTTTAAAAAAGCCTTAAGAAACGTGCAGATTCATTAAAAATAAATAAAAGAAAAAATGATGATAGTTGTTACATAGTTATAAATGTTAAAAGATGCTGAAATTGACTTGATGAAGTATGTATTATTTTTTATATATAAGCAGATTAAACAATGAATATTTCTTCTGTTATTGCTTTGCATATTAATGGTTAGGTCTTAGATTATTGAGAAAATTGATTTTGGATTAGCTGTCAAAGAAGATTAAGCAAAAATTATTCAAAGATTTGAACTGCAAAATCCCTTATTCTAATGGTAGTTAGAGAAGCCTAGGGAATGAACAACGAGGTTTAGGGCCGTTGAAGGGGCATAACCGTCTTAAAAAAAATTTTAGATCCATATTTAAGTGTAGTAGTCAGAAGCAAGTGTCACGCTAAACACTCAAAGTAATAAAAAATATATTTTTAATCATTTTTTTTTAAAAAAAAGTTATAATTAAATAAATTATTTAATTTCTTAAATTATAATAAAATATAATATATCATATATGATAACTTAAAATAAATAATTATAAAATATATATTTAAAATAATTTAAATAAATAATCATTTATAAAATTTAAATTTAAAATTTTTTTATAAAAAAAATAATTTTAATCAATTATATCAATCATTTATTAATTTTCAATCGCATTTAAACGTTACCGTTGCACACATTAATAAATTAAAGTTATAAAAAAAGTTCATTATTACGTGTCGCTTTGTTATTCTTTTATTATCCTTTTCGCTTAAAGTTCAATGCCAGTTTCTCAACGGCATCTTTGCAATCAATTCTTTTTTTGTTTTGTCCTTTTTCCCCACAAATCAAAATGGGGACATTGTTGAATATTCTATGGAAATAATAAGTAGAAAACAAGAAAATATCACTGTCCTTCAGGACCAGCAAACAGGTCTTGCTTGGAATTTAACTCTACTTTTTTGCCCACTTGCGTTTCAAAAGTGGCGTACTAGATTCTAGCTTGGTGCATCTGACTTTTCTTCATTAGAAACTTGATATCTAAGTCTTTATCACGATTTATTGCCGATTAAAAATCTTTTTACATTTTGGATGTGTATCAAAATGATAATCTAATTCTGAATTCAAATCATGATAATTTTAAATATAGAATATTATTATAATAAAAAAATTAAAAAATATATATTTTATATCTGAAATGTAAACTTATAATATGAATTTTTATTTTTTTATAAAATAAATAAATCATCAAATCTTCATGTGAATAGCAAATCAAAATGTCTTGGAAAATATTTGTATGCCTTGAATTGAATAAAATCCCTCTTGTTACATGAACAGACGGCAGCTTAGAAGTTTCTTGCTTGACTCCTGAGACGAACAAGATTACCTGATATTATGAGTTCGATTTTGTTATCTTCATATCATTTGCGAACATCTTGCGTCATCAATTTGGAAAAGAACCTCTCTCGTTGCAACGTATTTCTCCTCTTACTTGACAGTCAACAGCCCAACAGGTTGCTGTTCTAGAAGGATAAATATAAAAATATATAAACACAGGAAGAGTGAAAGTAAAGCAAGCAAGTCAAGCACACCAATATATATTCATATATTCTGCTAATTTCCGTCACCAAGCAATCTAAAGTCAGTGTGTTTACACAAAGAAGTGAAGAACCCACGTGAGTTTTATTTTTTATTTTTGTTTTTTTGGTAGTTTATTAGAAAAAGGAAGTACACTCAATCCTCACGGTTGAAAAGTTTGGATGCAGAGTATCCATGATAATGACTAATCGATGGATTGGCATTCCAATTGGGTTGTCATTAGCAGAGTATACATAACAATGACTAGTCAATGGATTGGCATTCCAATTGGGTTGTCATTAATGGTTTGAAGTTTGATGTCCAGTGTCCTAAATTTCCAAAAAAATGTTCTACCCCTCTTTTATATTAACTTCTCATCAGTGCAGCTGTGACCCCACAGTCAGACTTATTTTGTTCCATTTTATCGACTTTGGAAGAAGACAGATTCGAACCTGCTCAAATCGACAAAATATATGCACTTATCATTCAGTCAAAAATCACAAGTGCCATCTTACCGGCCGAGGAAAATGCATTCATATTAGCAGGAAATATTTAAATAGAGGGGAAACACGTTCTCCAAATATAAATAAACTTGGATAAACCAAATCCTACCATCCATAGAAATTCACGGATCCTACATGATAAATAGACAAAAAAAAAAGAGTACCTGCCATACTGTTAAGACCTAAAAGTTCAAAGAACATATTCAGAACGCTTAATAGCGGTCAAAGGAAGAAGGGCGCCCTCCTCTGCCTGGGCGATCATAAGGACCAGCCCTGTTCCTGTAGCTTCTTCCATCATTGCGTGCAGGTCCTCCACTTCCGTACCTATCACTGCCTCTCGAGGCAACATCTCGATACCCTCTCTCCTTTCCATAACCATTTTGAGGGAAACGATCTGAACCACCATATCGATCACCAAATCGATCTCCACTTGGGGGATACCTGCATTTTTTAAATAGAATACAACAGGTCTTAAGGAAAGCAAATCTGGATTCTGCATGAATAGAAGTTGAGTTTAAAGGCTAGAGCATAAAACCTGATATAATATAACATCATACACAGTAAGTTTCAAAGCATACATTGTACCAACCGGCTTTGTTAAAGTTTAGCTTTGATGGCGCTTTTAATGTTAATATGAAGATTTGGGACGGATTGGAGTTGTTACTAGGGACGCAGATGGATTTCTAATGGGAGCTTTGTCTACTACCATGGAAAGGGTGATTGAACCGAAAATGATTTGCTAGTGATTGGGGCTTTACTCGCATCTTATTGGAAGGGGATGCACTGGAAATCATAAAACAGTTGCAGTTGAGAGAATTTGCCTTTTCCAATATTGGTAACATCATGGAGGAAGAAAGAATGAGGCTGTCAGGATTTCGAGAAACCAAAGTTGAACATGTAAGCAGAAATGCTAATGAGGCTGCTCATTGGCCAAGTTTGCACTGAAACGGAGGAATTATGCTGGGTTGATGATTGTCAAGATATCATTAAACTGATAGTTGAGAATGAATGTACCTCTTTTTTAACTAACGGAAGTTCCTTTAGTAAAAATAAATAAATATAAGAAATGACAGAAAATAAAAAATGGCTAGAGAATTTGTCATTCTGCATTAATACTTGATAAAACCTTATACCTGTCACCAATATATCGATCACGGCTTCCATATCTATCATCTCGGCCATCAAAACGGTCCCTATCTCCATAGCGTCCACCATCATAACGGTCATCCACATAACGATCCCGATCTCTGAAGCGATCACCGCGGTCATCAGCTCCTCCATACCTTGAACGTGAAGAAAAGATACCTCCACTCCCACCTCGGCCACCACCAGCTGAAGGGCAATCTCGTGCCCAGTGCCCAAAGCGCCCACATTTGAAGCATTCATCCTGTGCTACAGGCCTGTCTCCACCTGCATAGCCTCCCCTGCCATTTGATGAGTAACCTCCTCTATAGCCATGGTCAAGATCTTCGCCCATTTTGGGTTGAGCCTTGTTCACTGAGATGATACGTTCTCCAAACTCTCGTCCATGCATCTCCCTGATAGCTTCATCCATGGACCGGCGATCTGCAAATGTAATAAAGCCAAATCCTCGTGGACGTCCTGTGTCTCTTTCCAACATGATCTACAGACACACACAAAAGAAGCTAATGCCAAACAACAGAAAAAATGTAAAGCAAGTATTACATATATATTAGACAGCATACATTAGCATTTTATCATGAAAGAATCAAATCAGTAGCATGCATCATTTGTACGCTAAAGGATAGAAGAAAATAACATGCATAAAATGCCCTCCAGATAAGATTACTAGAGGTAAATCAAGTCCCTAAGCTCATGATGAACTCAAGCTCTGCAACTTGAAACATTTAATAGATTTGAAGAACATCACCCTAGACAATTATGTGTCTGAACTATTGTGCCCTTGTCACTTATAGCACTAGATAGTTCAAATATTAATTTAAAAAGAAAAAAAGTTGAAAGGAACATGGTGTTACTGGGCAAATTAAAAAATTCATTAATAGATAATACATTTCCAGTAAAAATTCATCAATTTCAACTATAGAAATGAAATAAATGAACTGCAAAACCATGGTCTGCACAAAGAGTACTAAATAGTAAGGGAAAAAAAAGAATGAAATAAAACTTACTTTCTCCTTGTTATAGTGGATAAAGCATCCATATGTGTTTGATATTGCAAAGATTCTTAAAACAAAACAGAAGATACTGCACATTTTTCCTTTTCTGATCTGATAATATAGAACTCTGACCTGACTCATTTCCCACAGGATCTGACATAACAGTTTATGCATAAGTTATCATAATCCCCATTCGGTCAAACAAATGGTTTTCTTTCTGATTTTCTTTTCTCTCTGCCACTCACTTCATAATACAAATTGGACATCTTGATTAAACCAGTAATCAGTGCTAGTATTTCATTCAACCAAAGTTACATTCCAACTGGTCAGTGTTAACAAACATAAGGTTTCCATGCTGGGCCAAAATCAATCTTTGCCAAGCAGAAACGTTTCCCATATCAACCAGTTTGTGTGCAATCTATAAATGACATAAGAAGCAGATATATCATCAGGCCTCATCACAAGTTTTCTTCAATTTGGAAACGATGCCCAAAACTAGCTGACTCTAGGCATTGGCTAATCCATTCAGCAGGGATACCACAAGGATCAACAACAACACATGGTCACAGTAGCATAACTCATCAAAATCAAGAGAACAATTGTCCCGCTCATCAACATGACTTGTCATAGAAATGCATATCCTGGTGAAGTTGATTATATGTGCAGACACAAGCTACGCTAAAATGGTGTAATTCTCATCTCCACATGGCATCAGTTTCGATGGAGAAATCTAAAAGCTGGTTCAGCCAACTGCCACAAATATTGAGCCCAATATCTTACATTTTCAGCATTTTGGCTTGCACAAGTAGATAACTTTGAAAAGGCTCTTGTTATAAAACTGAAGCAGATAATGCAGTCACTGCAATGCTATAATCATCCAACTTAGTGCTACAGAGAGTGATGGATCTATTATCTGCCATACAGATGCAGTCCTACTAAAAGAACACATTTGGATCCCGGAATAAAAACAATTTCAAGTTTCTGACGCTTCGATTGGAGGCAGAAGCAAAAGAACAACAAATTGGAGCATTTGCTAGATTGATTGGCTGAATGGTGGTAGAGGCATGAAAATGGTAGATTTGAGCTCACTATATGGATATTCATGGATTAGGACTTAAACTGATCTGAAATTCACTTTTAACTAGTTTAAAATGTTAGACAAGAGGAAAGATTAACAGAGCTTCATCAATACTCCAAAGGAAATGGCGAAATTTTTCCTGAACATGGTTACAACTAATCTGGTAGTGACTTCAATTCTATTCTGAATCAATGGGGAAACTCAAAGCAAATCAAAATAGAAATCTTGACAAAATAAGGCTGAAAAACTGGATATTGGACCATGGGCTTACCACATCAGCAGATACGATGATGTAGATCCCATCCAAAAGCAGGTAATTTTGACCTCGGGAAAAACTGCATAATCGTTCATGAGTATACACAATTGTGTTGAATCTTTGCCATCACTAAGAACATAATGGCCCAGAAAACAGTATGCTAGAGAGTAGAGACAAAGATGGCACATAAGCACACTCCATAACTAAAAACGTCAGACATGTGAGATCTGTATAATATCGTAAGGCTCCACAAGTACTCTTCACGACTGAGAAAGGTCTACAAATGCTTCATATACCCTACAGTAAAAGATACCTTGACAACCTCTGGGTCCTCTCAGAAGGCAAATTCACACAAATCATTACCCATTGTTGTCCATCATGAACAAGGAAATTGGTCTTGCCGTAAATTTTTCATAAGCTAACTCCACAAAAGCTTCATTGTGTGCTTTAGCACGAATAGCCTCTTAACAAACAAGGCTTATTTCTTTAGGCACTCTCAATGATCATTTTAGGCTCTTCAAAAGTAAATTTCACAAATAAAGCAAAAAGCTTATTGCCTGGGGCTTCATGCAAGGATTCTTTAATCCAAATATAACTGTTTCTCCATAAAATAATTTAAAAGAATCAGTTTTAGCATCAGCTCCCTTTCATGAACCATACCTCTTAAATTTAAATGAACACTTTGAGCTCGAACATTAGAAATAGAGATTCTTGCACTTAAACGACTTGATGCAGTCACTCCGAATAAAAACAATTCTTAAAAATCCCTTCCACCACATGTCAAAATGTTTTTACCAGCATTTCAATAAGATAAGAAACAAGTAACAAAAGAGAACAAAAAAACAATCCATACATATTAATTATAGCCCAATATCACATAAGCTTGTAAAAAGGGTTCTGATATTGATATATGCAAGCAGTTTCTCTCTATCAGCAATGATTGTGTGAAACATAGATAAGAGACTCATTATGGAGGCATATTTAAAGTATCATGGAGAATTTGACATAATAATCATCTTCCAAGAAAAAAAGGTAACATAACATAAAAATGTTAAAAACTATTGTCCAGACCTGGCAATTTAAAACATGACACATTGACACAATACGAACAAATAAAGGACATGGAGATAACACAGCTTAAAATTAAATAAATAAATAAATTTAATAAAACCAAAATATTGTATTTTATGTTTTCATGTCGACACGAACTATGACATGATTTTCATGTAAAACATGACACGAATACAATATTTTACATGATACGGTAACACAAATTGCCAGGTCTAATATTGTCAAACAAATGTCGCAATGTTTCAACATAAGTTTCAATTTCAATAATTTGGTACAATCTTCTGCCTTCTATTATTAAAAACCCTATTAACGCTTTGGGTTAAATCCAGGAAAAATATTCAAACAACCAAGTTTAGGCAAAGGAAAAGAGTAAAGTTCAAATGGGTGTTAAAATCTTGTGCTAGTAAATATATTCAAGTCACGTAAATCTATATAAAAGATCAGAGTCTTTGTTTTTGCCAGCATATATGTGAAGTATATGAAGAGTAGATCCTTATGAAACACAATAGCTCTGTCCAAGCTGTTTACCTTCGTAAAGCATATCCAAATCAAGAGTTTCTAACACCAATTATAGAACAAAACAAGATTGAATAATAACAAAAACTGTTTCTTTTAAGATGAAAATCGGAAAAAAAAAAAAAAAGAAGAAGAAGAAGAAGAAGAAAATACAGAGTATTCCATTCAAACTTCTTGACATGCATATAAACAATTACATGCACAAAACCAAAACTTCTTTTTCTTCTTCAACCAAATCCAAAAATAAAATATTGAAAGACCCCATGCAACAACAACTAGATGCACCTGCTTTTTCACTTGAAAAAAATACCAGTTACCAAGAGATCACTCACAAATTCAGTAATTCACCGGTAGTGACCTACCTGAGCACAAAATTCACACTTAAAAACAAAGTCACTTAAAATTATAGACCCAAAATTAAAATTTTGAGAACGCTACTATCATTCAAAATGACAAAACCCCATTTGAAAATAAAATGATATAAAAATTCTAGAACTTATAACTAAAACATCCTACCTAAAATTAGGCAAATTCTGGCAATCCCTTTTAACACAAATTTCAATGTTGAAAAAAAAAATCTTCAAAATGGGGGGAAAAACCAACTTGTAAAGAATCATAAAAATAATACAAAAAGTCCAAAATTATGAAAACCAAGTGAGCAAATATAACAACCCTTCTTAACACAAACTTCAATCTTGAAACTAAATACAACCCTTCTAAATGCCAAAAAAAAAAAAAAGGAAGCAAGGAGAACCCATTAGTCAAAGCACTAATATAACATAAATTCTAACACTGAAACTACAATATCCAACCAAAATGAAAGCAAATTCAACAATCCATTTTCCCTTAAACTTCAACTTGTTATTTTCCCAACAATTACTCTCCATTTTTCAGGCAACCAAACATAACTCAAACAAAAAAAGAAAAAAAGGCAGAAACAAAGAAAAGAAAACATTTTTTTTTTCAAGACAGGTACCTGAGAATCAAGTATTTTGCCAAAGCGATTAAACGCATGCTCAAGCTGTCGTTCCGTGACATCCCATGATAATCCTCCGACAAATATTCGGTTCTCTTCTTTCCCTGCCATCCCTTACATATAATTCCTGTTTTCTTTCTTTCTTTAAAAACCTGAAAATGGGAGCAAATAAAGCAAAAAAAATTTAAAAAAAAAAAACATTTGTTTGTTTCCTGAGAAAAATCTTAACTTTCCCAGGAAAAAATGCGAAAATTTATTTTTTTGGTTTACCTCTCCTCTGTTGGTTTTTGGGGTTGCAGTGAAATTGTGACAATTTTTTTTTGAGCGATTTTGAAACCCTAGACAGTTATCGAGGCACGTGAAATTTTTTTGCTGCTTGGGTGTTATACGTTCCAGTAATGGGCTTTAGGAACAATACTTGTAAGCAAAGATTGGGCCTTTATGTTCAGGACTAGCCCACTGTAAAATGAATGTGAAATAAGGAGAATTTTTAAACAAAAAGAAATCATTTTTTTTATCCCTTTATCATTTTTATTTAATTAAATAAATGTTTTTATTTGTCATTTACACTTCTTTTTTACATTTAAAAAAAATTGACAAAATGTTCATTTTCCATAGAAAATTAAATAAAACATTGTTGAGGAACTAAAATTAAAATTAGAATTTTGATGAATAATAAAAAGCATTGACATTTTTTTGAGCTACAATCATGTTTGAACTAATGTTACTTTCTAATTCATGCTTTAAAAAAAATTTACTGATACTATTGGAATAAGTTATCAGTTTTTTTTTTATTTGAAATTGCCGGTTATCAGAATTTAAATTTTGATTACTAAAACTAAAAATGTAGTACTCTAACAATAAATCAAGAATTGAGAAACAAACAATAATAAAATGTCATTATAGTAATATTTTACAAAGTTAAATAAATACACAACGAAATACATAATTCACGTATGAACCGCATAAGAACTGGTGTATGTATCAATCAATGATTCATGACTGAAATATGTTAGAATTGGAGATTTTGTCAAATTATTCAGGCAGGAGGGGGCAGCCTAGTTACACTTGTTCCCCCACTTCTGCTATCTGTTAGAGGCTTCCAGCCCATTTCGTTTTGTAAAGTTGAACTAGTTTTCAATCTCCGAGGAAGAATTTGCAACCTTGGGTTAAGCTCAGTACCTGAATTTTCTGCAGCCAACTGATAGCTTTTGACAAGCTCAAGCTGGTGGGCGATTATCTCAGAACGTCTAGGAAGAAGCTCTACGGGCTCTCCACCGGGAATTACAATATATTCAATTGCTAGACGAACCTCCTAGAAGAAAACACAGACAGGTGATGATTGAACCGATATTATTAGAGCTTGGAAATTTCCTGGAGCATCATTGTTTGCTATAGAATTACTACTTTTCAATGATAATCTCTATCATTACTACTGATTGCAATAAACAAGCACTTTCATCATCAAGCATTCAAGAATAATTGATGAATTTTCGAACTGTAATGAACAAATAGAACAAGGGAAAGATATTGCACCTCTAAGGCATCAATCTCTTCCAAGGTGTGTTTTCTTTTTGGTGCATCATCTTCAATCTCAATGTCAAAAGAATTTCTGTTAGGATGGTTTTGATCTTGAGCCGTATGATTTCCTTTCAAGAATCATACGCACTGCCTTCACCATTTGTGCCATGGTATTTGACTGAAATCCAAGAAAACTAATATCAATCAAACACATCTTGAATGGTACCATTTCTTTTTGAAGACATTTCATATCAGCATTAAAGATAGTGGCAGGAAAAAGGGAAGTAGGTCTCGGTTTTTCTGCACAATTGTTTGTGAATTAGTTATGAAGATACCTTAATGACAAACATTGGCAACTTGTGAAACTTTGCTATTCTGCGAATCCAGGGGTTCTGCTTTATTTCAGACACAGATGCTAAAATTGCATCAGCCATCCCAATGTCATCAGTAACATCTATTTCATCTTCAAGTCCCATAGCTGTTGTTACTTGTAAGAGATCAGCTTCAAGAATCTAAACAATACATCCAACCAACAAAAATCATATTAGCACTGCCACACTTGACAGCAGCATTATCAAAAAGCTCATTGAATTTCTCATAAAGGCCAGCAGGGCACCACATTTCATCAAGCCTATGGAACCCACCCACAATATCCTATTGGAGTGTCATCCAATAAGACATGAATCATCAGTTTTTTTTTTTTTTTTGACAAAACTTTCTAAAACTATATATAATTTAGATTAAGTATTTCTCCAATTATATATTTTCCTTCTCCCTTTTGCCCATTTCATCAAGTAATCTTGAAGCCCACCCCCAATTTTCTCAATGTGGCCTCAAATTAAGATACAGAACGCAAAAACGATGAAAAAGAAATGGAAATGAAAATTTGTCTATTTCACCTTGTAAGTATAAACAAATATTGGTGAGCTCCTTTTGCTCATCCGATAAACCTCAACCTCTTTTCTTTATAGGATTAGGAAGATAATCTTCATCTTCCTCATTAAAATCTACCTCAGCACATTTTTCTTTATTATCAGGCAAGTCAGATTGCTCAGGATGGTCAATTTTAGGTATTGGACTTGAGAGGAATATTAGCTTCAGCCTCCATCTGACGAATTTCGAACAAAGGAGATTTTCCTGGCAACCACAAATGTTTCTACTTAGTACATCTGCTTATATGAAAACGTCAATTCAAATACAGGAATGTAGACACTCAAAGAAGGAATATGTACCAGCCAGTATAGCATCCACTGTTGCATCAAGTCTATGATGAATGCGACACTCAATCCTAGATATCATCTCAACAGCACATGTAAATGTTGGTGGGCCCTTCCTTTCCAGAATAGTTTTTTGCATTTTCCTTTTCTTTGCTTCCTCGTCACCCAGAGTTACACTCTGTTTTCAAATGAAAGAATGACTTGTTGCAATCCAATGAAAAACCTTCTGTAAAATGGCACAGATTGATCTAATTTTACCTATCTAAAACAATTGTACTTGAAATTTTCTAGTTGCTCCACAAATTTCCTTACAACATGAAACCAAGTGAACAGGCTCGGATAAACAATGTAAAATAACCTAAGTGGTGCATCCAAATGGAAAAATAATGCCACTTGGAGTATATTGAAATCCATATGAGTGGTATGAAGTGAAAATAGGAGTTGCTTTGCACCTCGATGCCACCAACAAGGATCTGTAGAGAGGGTTCTTTATTATGTTGTCAACAGTCATTCCATGGGCTGTTCCAACGAGCTGAACTCCTCGTTGAGCAATGGTGCTGGCAGCTAATGCTTCTAGCTCTGTACCAATTTCATCAATTATGATGGTTTCAGGCATATGATTCTCAACTGCCTCTATCATAACCTGCAAGGTAGATGAACCCACTGATAATTATACTTAATGCAAACAATTGCCCAGCATGAGTTATTTTGATGTATAGCAATGAGCAAAACCACAAATCAACACTCACATTATGCTTCATATTTACATTTGGAACTTGCATTCTCCTTGCACGCCCTATTCCTTCATGGGGGATATCTCCATCACCTCCAATCTCATTTGATGTTCTACAATGACAACACGTTTCATGTGTTCATCAGCCAACATTCTAGCGATTTCTCTGCAAAAAACAAAGATTCTTCAGATACACAAATCCCATACCATATAAAACTAATAGAGTTTTTTATGTCAAATATCATAATGGAGATATCCCAAAGGATTGAACCCAATAAAGTTCTTTCAAGAACTTTCAGCAAGCTCAAAAACAGTCAGAGTCAGTTGCAATGATGCAAGATCAGACAATATTAAGATAATAAGACCTGTGTTAATAAAAATCGAATCCACAGTCAGAAAAAGAAAATAAATACAAGAATAAGTATGAAAAGAGGAGTTATCTAACCCAAACAAAACAAAAAACCTACCTGAAACACGTAAGTAAAACTTATTTTCATTTTAAAAGCTGACAATAATATTTTGAACAGCAAATGGCATCGACCAACAAAAAAGACTTTGGAGGAACTTAGAAACAGTAGATTGAATTTGTAAACATTGCACAGGTATGTACCTGATTAAGGTTGTTTTACCAACTCCTGGAGGACCTATGACCAGGATGGAGCCTCCTCCTTCAACTAAGTCCCGTATAATCTCAGCACTTCCAGACACAGCTCGACCCACCCGACAAGTGAGGCCAATTATTTGCAATTTACGATTTCTAATAGCACATGCGCAGAGATTTAAATAGCAGCTGCGATCACGTTTTCGATCGCGTCGTGTTTATTGCGTTTTCAGATATAACGGAGATCATTACGACCATCACGAACATGAATTTTTTTTTTTTTACACAATTTATATAAAATGTAATAATTATAATTATAAAAACTCTTATTCAATAATTTTAAAAATAGTTTATGACACTATGTTTTTTATTTTTTAAAAAAATTATTCATAATTTTATTTAGATTATAAAAAGCATTCATATTTGGTTTATTCACAAAAAAATTTATTAAATTTCATATAAAAATTATAAATTAATATATAACACAATCAAAATATAATATTTATTTTAATTAATTTTTGTCTAACTTATACAAAAAAATTTATAAAAAATTTTCATCTAAAATCTCTATATATATTATATTAAATTATTAATCCCTTAATTTTTTTTAATTATAAACCTTCAATCTCTCTAATTAGATTTTATCTAAAAAAATTTCAAAAATTAAAAATTTTCAAACTTATATTTTAATAAAATTTTCAAACCTATATTTTTTATTTTTTAGTTTTTAATCTTAGTAAGAGTAATAGATCATAAAATGTTAAATTTATTAAATAACTTAATCTTTTTGATACACTAATTGATATAAATTTTTTTGTCACAAATAACTTTCAATAATTATATAATAAATACAATCTTTAATAATTATATAAAAATAACAAGAATTAATTTAATATCAAAAAAATTGACAGCAATAAAATATCAAAACAACAAAAAAATATTAAAATTCAGATACAAAATTATAAATTAATATATAACACAATCAAAATATGATATTTAATTTTAATTATTTTTCATCTAACTTATACAAAAAAATTTATAAAAAATTTTCATCTAAAATCTCTATATATATTATATTAAATTATTAATCTCTTATTTTTTTAATTATAAATTATTAAAACCTCTAATTAAATTTTATTTTAAAAAATTCAAAAATTAATTACAAAATTAAATAAAAAATTCAACTCACACCCTCCCAACACCCTACCACACCAAATACCTCTCTACCCCACCTCACCTTAATCCCTCCTCACGCTTGCCTTACCCCTCAAATGTTTAATTGTAGCAGGATGGCAAAACCATATAAAACCAACTTCTGTTCATCTTTTCCACACATCCAAAACTTTGTTTTTCAAAAATTTTTTTTTTTTTTTTTTCATCTCTCATTTTTTCTAGCATCTTTTCATCATTATCATTTACCCAATACACTTCGTTCGTCTCTCTCAAGTCTCAAACTCTTACAACAGATCATTTTACAAAAAAAAGATAATTTAACTTTTTTTCTTACCTTATTTGATCTTAAATGTTGATTAAAAACTTGATACTGATTTGAATTTGAATGTCGAAATACTGAATGGTTAAAACTTGAAATTTTGTTTTTTTCTCGAACTATTAGATCCGTGTAGGAAAAACGAAATAGCGGCAATAACGGACCGTTATTGCCGTTATTTTTCGTTAAGTCGTTATTTGCGACTGTTACATTCCGTTTTTATCGTAAATAAATTTCACAATCGTATTTTGTCCAATAACGATGACGAATGATGACGTTACCGTTATTTTACGGCCACTATTTCATTTTTAAACCGATATTTGATTTCTTGCTTATGCGATGTAAAGATCTATCAATACATGAGCGGTTGTCATCCGAAAAATCACCAACCTAGAACAAAACGAGTAACTTCAGTTCACTTTTATGCCAAAAGAAGCAACTTGAACTACAAAAAGAACTCAGCCAACCCACAAGAAGCCCAATTCAACACTTAAAAAGAAACTACTAGTATCTGACTATCAATCATTATCATCATACGACAGATGTTGACCATGTTTGTTACATAGTATATAAATTAGTAAATAAATAAGTGACATTATACGGGGAAAAAAAAAGTAATTGGATCTCTACCTGTTCATAACAGGTTAAAGCTAAACAAAAACAATATTAAAAAAGTAAACTTTATCGAAAAGGTGGTAGATGCTGCCTCATTCCATTCCACCCCGAGCCTAAACAAATGAATTAATAAACGAAACAAGGTCAAAAAGAATGACCCAGTTCATTAACTAAAGTAAAAAAAGTCAACTTCTTCAAAAGCACAATTAAAATAATTTCATGATCTCAATCTTCCTATGCACATTAACATTAAACCATGTTATTACCAAAATTATTTGATGTGAAAAGCTCATATTACTGGAAACCTCATTACATACAACAAAAATTAAAATTAAACTTAGTAGTTCACTTAAAATTACCTTAGATATTGCATGCCTTAAATCTTCGTGCATAACAGGCTGTTCCGAAACAAACCGATCCCCAGAAGGAAACCTAGCAATAGGTTTCCTCCCCAAATCCAAAACCACCTCAATCAACTCTCCAATCTCTTCATGCCCGCAAAGCTCTCTACTCATCCTCAACGGCAACATTTCCAGGAACAGCTCAAGCTCCGTACAAGCCTCGACCCAGGAAGTAGAAGCCGGGTTCGGGTAATCCGACGACGACCCATTCGAGGATGTGGTACGATCAGACTGTTTACGGATTTGTGGGGTCCGGAGAACCGAGTGCTGAGATTGTCTCATAGATGCCGTTGCTGCTCTTTGATGAGTTCCACGCGTCCTTGTTATGAAGTGGGAATGCTTTTGACGGTGGTGCCATGACGTTGCGTTATTAGTGATGTCAATTAGAACAAATCTCGAATTCAAAGCTCTCATTTTTTTCCTTTTTTAGCTCTAACAAGTTTAGTTTAGTACGTTTTTCTCTCTTTGGGTTTTTCTTTTCCTTTTAGTTTGTTAAAAGGAAAGGAAAGACGATGTGTGAGGGAAAGGGGGAAGGAGATGATTCGGAGGGATCTCCCCTGGGATTGAAGGGAAAGTGGGATCCAAACAGTGATGGAAGTTAACGACCGTGGACGTAAAGAGGTTGGTCTGGTTGGAGGACACGTGGGGCTATTGGATTTTGGACCAAATTTGTGTGGTAGACAGTAGAAGAGAGTTTGAGTTTAGGTTTTTGCTTTTTTTTTTGTTTTTGTTAGTACTTGAGTTGGCTTTGATTCTTTGGAAGTCGAGAACTCTTTGGAAAGACTTTTCTCATTTCTCTTCCAACTAATACAAAGCATGTAACAAATTTGTACGGGCATCAAATATGACTTTTTTCAACTGAAAAGAAAATTAAGATTATTATGGTGCATTGATTTTAGATTTTTTATTCAGACCTTTATTCGTGAAATTTTTTTGTTTTAAATGCAACAGTCGATGATTTACTAAATTGGTTTAGAGTATTACGTTTGTTTTTTATTCCAAAGGAAATTCTTAGCCTGGTCGCTTTACTAAATTGGTTTGCGTGCCTACCAAAAACACTATTTTGGAAAGCCAATGACCGCTCAAAGTCTTCACCATGTTATTCTTAAAGCAAGTGCTGGAGCTTAAGCCAAATTTCTTCATAGGCAATGCAGAGATGGGAATCAAACATCTTTTCATTTTCCTTTTAAGGCAACTTTACAATTTACAGTTGGTATCTAGTCAAAAGACAAACAAAAAAAAAAAAGATGTGCTGTACAGTGACTGTGGAGACCTTAGAGGCCTTTTGACACGGTTAGTGATCTTAAACTATTCCCAACCCATTAATATTTTTCTAACACCCTCTTCGATCATATTCCCGGGAACACGAATACTATCTCCTTCGTCGAGTAGGATCCTATATACTTCCCATTCCCGATCGCAGATCATGTGTCTCCCTATCTCAACCTGTGAAAGTTGAAAAAACCAAATTGCAGTTAGAAATTGAAGAGAACAACCATTTGTGACTGACAATAATAATGGATATCAAGGCCAATACCGAAAAGATCTGGATGCTAAGATTCTTGAGAGCAAGGGTTATGTCATGGAAAACAAGAGGCCGGCCTCTGCCAGACAATTCAACAGGGTTTGCTACTAGTAGCTCAGTATCAGGGCCCCGGCTTACCACAGCCACTCTAAGAGGACGCCAAAGCTCCATCCTCAAACGAGAGCATAATGCATTTTGCTTATTGCGGTCAACAATCTTCTTACCATCGGCTTGCACTATGAACAAGTCCAACTCACAGCCACCTTTTTGGTTTGCAAAGAATCGTCCATAAGAAACCTGCTATGAAATACTAATTTTTAAATGAAGCATTTATAGGAAATTGAGTAATCAAGGAGAGAAGCCAAGTTACATAGTTTTGCAGTTATGACACAACTCTTTTCGACCAGGTTCCATCATGGAACCACAATGTCTAAATGAAATTCCAAGCATTAATCTGTAGACACTCAAGAGTTTCAGAAGATAATCTCTTGCAATTTTAAAGTATAAAACCTTCAAAAGGGGGAGGAATTGGCCATTTAACTTATCATGGGTTTTGCTCTTCAGATTTACCGATGGCAAGCAAATGCAAAGTACTGTATGTATAGGCCCAGAAATCAAAGAAAAAAAAAAAGAAAACCTTTTTCAATACAATTGTTAATAGTTTAAGATATGTACCTGGATGTTGTAGTCCTTTAGGGTTCTCATGATATCATAAATTAGACCTTTGTGATCCTGGCAGAGGACTTGAATAAGCGTGTGGGAGGGGCTAAGGTTGTTGTCCACTGTAATCGATATAGGGTTTGAAGTAAGTAATCCACTGGGATATCGTGCAAGCAGCTCTAAACTGAACATGTCTTCGGTGATTGCAGAAGGAAGGAATGAAGTGCCTTGTGAACATGCAGTTATTTCTGGGCCAGCTGATTCGATCTCACAACTTTCCAATATATCACCTAGTGCAGTTTTCAAGTGAAGAATTGTTTCACCCTGACGTTCTTTCATATGAAGAAGTTCCCTAAATTATAAAAAAGGGGGGAAACCAGGTTACAAAAGCATCTCAATAATCTCTCTCTCTCTCTCCTATATAGCATGTTTCTACAGCTATGTTGACTTTTTGTTTATCATCTAAACATACATGCCTGCACACACACAAATATATATCAGGAAACAACAAATACATGCATTGTCCCTGATAAATCAACATAATGGTACAAGTTTAATGTGAGTCCGGGGTGACACCAGAAGCTATCCACATATCTTCTCTTCTTTCCTAATTCACTCCATCACAATGTGCCCAGAAAAGAGGTTCTATCTCTTCCATTAAAAGAAGTTAGCTTCCTCTTAATGTCAGATAAACTACGAAAAAGGGAATTTTTTTTATTTATTTAAAAGTCCAATTTGAGGGTCCAATGTATTAATTAATAATCAAACTTCTCTTTTCTTTCAATTAGAAATACCATCAATTTAAGTTTCATATATAATGAATTGTGAAAAGTTCATTCAATTTAATGAAAAAGATCAAGTATAACTTAGGGATATAGTCATATGACAACCAAGGATATAAAGCAGCCGTGAAACCATATATGGTGCTTTGATGTGTCTTTTATTAGATAATTACCACTTGACATTGCTTTAAAAACAAATCGTATCTGCTTTCTTAAGAAATCACTTCACTTTGGAAACCAGTAGAAGTAGAGCATTCCCTTTCAAGAGATCAGTTAGTTTTATGTGTAAGTCTAAAGCAATATGACTCACAAGAAAAGGAAACTAGAGTTCATTTATGCCTAAATTAATTCCAAATTCTAATTTTCAATTATTCACTATGTTAACCTCAACAGCCTTCCCTGTTTCACATGTAAAACACATGCCATTTATTAGAACTACTTTGTGCCCCAGTCAATTGATTCCGTTTGAGGAGAAACCATTATGAAAAGATTCACACCCTTAACAACCCAAATACTCTATTCATTTTTCCCTATATGTACTAGACAATCAAATAGGTCAAAAAGAACCAAGCAACAATGCAATGAGGAAATAGAATGATCAACTACTTTCAAGTTATATGTAAAGTTCTCAAAACTAACAAACCTGGTATCAGTGATGAAAAAGAGGTCCATCACTTTTCCATCTGGAGTAGTAGAAACCTTCACTCTCTTTATTGTAAGCTCCAGCTCAAAAAGGACCCGAGTTACATCTATCATAACCAAAAAAAAAAAAGCAAATTTAAATTAACTAAATGACAAGGACATACCAATTACCATAAACACAAAAGAACTCTTGATTAATCTCAAAAATCAACAAAACTACACTCAGTTATGGAGCAGTAACTATAACCAATTAAACAAGGAAAAATAAATTTAAAAGAAAAAACCAAACAGCAGATGGTAGAGGACATGTATATATCTTTCCCACTCAAAAACCCAGTTTGTTGTGTTTGAGTACACAACTCTTTGCCTATATGAGCGAACAGATCACTTGGCAATGAAGGTAATTCATTAAGAGAAACATACTGGTACGGTAGAAATTCATAATGTTATCGTTGAGGGGCTGCATGTTTTACAGAAAAGTCATGGTGATACCAGTCTCCCTTCAAAAAAATGCTCACATTCCTTTTGATACCTGTTTTCCTTCCAAAATAGTTGTACTTTAAGAAAGGCTCTCGTTTCCTTTCACCAGACAATTTCTAGATTCAATAATTTTCCAAATAAAGTAATTTAAAATGTGAATCCGAATTTTCCTTTCTTTCCCCCAAAATCCAGCTACAAGATTGAAATAAAAAGTTTAGTTTTTAATACTCACATATTGTTATTCTTCAAAACTCATACAATTCACATTAATTTTGCCATGCATTTTAGCTTTTCAAACATCTTGAACAAGAATAAAATTAACCCTATAATATTAAACCGAAGGCAAAATAAAACCAAAAATATTCCTTCTCAAAGGTATTACTATTTCATTCTCATGAACATATTTCCAGTTAATAAACAAATACAAATTTTGTCCAACACGATTTAATCAAGAAACTTTTCTGAATTGCAGCACAAATACTATCTTGCTCCTAAAAGAGAAGACAAAACTTCACTTTAAACATTAAGCACTGAGGCAAAACAATATCCAGTTCTCAGAATAGCTAAAAAAACAGAATGTTAATTAAATAGCTAACTAATTGCTACATATTCCTATAAAAGATTAAATCTGAAGAAAAGAAAGTTTACCATGTAATAGTCCTTTCCTATCACAAGAACACCAAAACTTCAGAAGAAACACATCCAATTTCTTTGGCTGCTGGTTTGCAGGCCGGTAATAGTCAATCCCAGATGTCGAGAAATACGATGGACACACTTCTAGTAGCCTTTTTTCCAGCAAATCCCACCTTGTGTTTATGTTCCCAACCACCCAAAGCACTACGTAGCACCATTTCCCATCTGTTGAAAAATCTTATCCACAAAAAAAAAAAAAAATACAATCAATAATTGACTAACACTTCCAAATCTGTGTGCCATCAATATATAAAATATTAAAACAAAAATTTTGAAAAAGGATGATAACAATAATAGAGTAAGAAGTAAATCAATAGGATATATCATAAGAAACCATGATCAATCAAGTGCTTTTGCTTGCTAAACAAATTGAAGATTGCTAAAGATTAAAACAAAAGAAACAGTAACCAGTTTGATTCATTGTTCATATCCCAAAAAATTACAAAAAAAAAAAAACCAAAGGACTAATATTCAACCAGTTAAAACTTCCCATGAAGATTAAAAAAAAAAACAAAGAAAATCACAATGACACATACAACTACAAAAAACCCCCAAAAAATTTTAAAAAATGGTGAGTAAATGAAGCTTACCTCCTCTAGCAATGCTTAACCCAAAGAGTAAAATAATCCTACACAAATCACAGCCTAGCCCGGTTTTATCAGGGCAATTCACTGTTATAACAGTGGGATCCCCTGCTTTCTCTGCCGGACTTATCACTACAACATCTTCTCTTAAAATGCCCATCTTTCCCCTTTTCTTCTTTTTCCTTCACTTTCTCTCCACTTTTACTCTGTTTTTGCCCTGTTTCCTATAATTTTTTGCTCCCAAAAATGGGTTTTTTTCCTCACTCTCTCTTTCCAATTTTCTTTCTTTTAGCCTTTGCCTTCTCACTTATGTTCTTGTTTAGTTTTGAGACAAATGGATTGGGGTTTCCGTCCGAAACAGTGAACAGAAACAAAACACAAGACAGAACTGTCAACTGAGAAAAGAGAAGAGATATTTTCTCTTCCTCTGTTTCTCTTGTTCTTTTCTTTGCATGGGATTTTCAAATTCTCGCCCTTTTGTTAGGTATTTATTTGTTGTTGAGAGTTGAGACGTAGAGAAAAAACAAGGAAATTTGTCTCTTTTTTATTCCCACTGTCTTTTTTTTTTTTGTCTTTTTTTATATCTCAAAATTATATTTTTTTAATATCTAAAATTTTTATTTTTTATATTTTAAAATTATATTTTAATAATTTTTTTTACTTTTTAACATTAAAATTTTGAAATTTAATTTATAAAAAATTTTAATTTAATATTAAATATATCAAATTAAAATTTTTTAAAATTTTATGAAAGTCAATCAAATTCAAATAATTTGAGATGAAAGGGGTAATAATTATTTTTTGTCCAAATGATAATTATTATGTTAGGTTTTAATTTTATTGGTTAAGTGTGATCTGCTTCAGCTGAATCTTGGGGCTTTTTGTTATTTGATTCTGAATTTTAAAAAATCAATGCAATTTCTTCAACTTTTGAGTTTTTTTTTTTTTCAGTCCATAATTTAAAATAAAAGAGAAACTAATTTTATTGAAGGATATTAAAAAAACTGAAGACATTCCATGCCGAATCACAAAAAATTTACATTTGTTTTAATTTTATATCCTAAAATTTGTCTTTTGGATGTTAATTTAGAACGTTAGAAATATTCATAAAAAAAAAAATCATCACCAGTGGTAATAATTATAGCTTTGCTTGTTTGGTTTTGATCATTGTCATTCAAGTCTAAAATCTTGGATGTCTTAAAATCAAAAAAATAAAAAATATACTATTCGACCTACTTTTATTTCAATAATTTTGATGCACTTACAAAAATTTATTAATTTTATTTTAATATCTTATCTATGAATAAATTAATTTATCTATAAATTTATAGATTTTATCATTGAGTTTATTCAATAATTACATGTCTTTTTAAAAAGTATAAATATTTAGCAAAAAAATTAATTTAACTCGGAAAAAAGTAAAAACTTTATTAGAAGGAAAATTTTGATAAAAGCTTTTTTTATTTTTTTGGAAAAAGACATGAAGGAAAATATTCGGAAGTGATTTATTTTTTTTAAAGGAGGTCAAAGGCAGCCAATAGAACAAAATTCTTTGCTTGTGGTTCTCGTATCACTCAAAAAGAATGGGAGCTTTGCTTGGGTTGGTAATTGGGTGATAGTAGGTGGGTTTTTTTTTTTTTTTTTTGAGCAAAAATAAAAATGCATTTTTTATTAACTAGCTTTCTTTCTTTTCTTCTTACATTTATGCTTAAGCTGTTAATTTTCTTTGTCCTTTTCCCCATCTTGCAAGTTTTAACATTCCACGTTCAATTAGTCCAATTTTTCCACAATTCATCACTTTTTTTTCTTTTTTTTTCCAAAATGTCAAACCTTGCCAAAGGGATTCATCCTTCCTTGAGGAATAAATAGAAGAGAATACAAAGATGGATATGAGTTTGCATTCAATTGGATTTAGTTTCAATTATAAGAAAAATAAAGAGAGAACAAAGTTTTTAGAATAATTACAACTTATACATGCATAATATATTTTTCAATTTATTTTTTTATAAAAAAATCACGATCTAGAGAAAGTTATAAATGTTAAAATTTAAATCATAAACATATTGAATGACATATCTTAAGAATAATTGTATAAATTAATTGTGTTAATTTTTTATTTTTTTTTCTAGTTTGAGTGATCTTTATGCTATAATTGGGGGAAAAATATTGAATCTTTGCAATTAAAAATAATAAAGATTTAGGATGAGATGTGGGAATCATCCAATTTAATTTTTCTGATTCTTGCATTTGAAGGACTATCTTAGTATAAATAGATGGATGCTTCTTTTATTTTAGATGATAAGCTTCCAATTTTGGACAAGCTTTTAATAACTTAATTAAACTCCAGCAATAAGGGCAATAGCATATGGTTGTCAAATTAAATTATATTTAAACAGAGCAATCAATATGGGAAGTTACAAAGGTATAAAGAAATTAGATTTTAATTAGTGATCTTTCACAATTAGGAATCTCGCTTTTGAACAGCAAGAAATAATCAAGTTAAGGGGTGTTAAACATTGGTTTTGAGACAAACATTAAGCGCTCACTTGTTAATAGTAGATGTGACAAAACACTTTCTTCTTGGATTAACCTTTTCCTTTTACAAAGGAAATATAAAGGAGTTAATTTTGTTCTAAATGATAGTTAGAATGTTAAATATTTAATTTTAATAATCAAAATTCAATTTAAATCAAATTAAATTTTGAATCATGAAGTGAAAAAGTAAAAAAATTCAAATTAAATCAAATTATATTTTTTAATTAATTTTTATATCAATTTTAAAATTTTAAAAAATAAAATAATTATTTTATATATACATTTATTTAAATATGTTAAAAATAATATGAAATAATAGCAAAATTAAAAAAATACTTTTTAAAATTCAATAAATCAACCTAACTAATCAAATTTAATTTGAATCATTTTGATTTTAAAAAATAATTTTAATTTTAATCAAATTTTATAATTTTAAAATATTATACCTTAATCGAAATAATTGAACCCATTGATTGTTATTTTTACTTAAGAGATTTTACTATCAAGGTGAATGAATGAATTAATTAATTAAACCAACCCTTCTTTGGTTTCTAGGATTGCATTATGACATTGGCACTAAGTAGAGCTACATAATTACTTTAGTGACAAATTGCATTAGATTTATTTCAAGCGCATGTTACCTCTATAATTTTGTTTAACCTTTTTCTTTGTCTCATACAAGTACTGCTAACAATTAATTTCATATAAGATATTGTCAGCAATCAAGACAAAATAAACGGCCCACAAACTCTTGAATTATAATTTAAATTTTAATTGTTAAATTTAAAATTAAATAAAATTATTTTTTAAAATTTTAAAATCAAATCAATTTTTATAAAATCATAAATTAATTACAAATTAAAAATTTTAAAAACTTTTAACAAATTTTATAAATTATAAAAAAAAATTAAAATCAACGATCAAGACAATCTAGACAGCGCGAAACGGCAAGCTGTGGAAAGCTTTCGTTAAAACCGATATTACTTTCAAAAATCGTGCAATAAAATACCATGATATTACTGTTTCCTGATAAATTGGAAAATTATCGCGACAAATTGACGGTTAGTTTGGTAAGTCTGATCACCTAATTTTCTCCCCCCTCTAAGATTTCGCCAAGTGGGAAATCATGATATGCTCCCCCAGCACGTGCTTTTGTAGGCAATCGAGAGAATATTCGGTGCATCAGCCTCAATTTTCTTATTGTGCACTGGCAATCAAAATCTGCCACGTCCAACTGCTCATTGACCATTTTTTAATTTGTCTGCACAGACATTTGAGATAGTTTAATTATTAGAGGGGCTACCAAGGCCTAGGGTAGGCTCAGTTGTAGTCAAATGTTGGCAGAATTATTTGAAATTCTCATAGTAATTTGTAATAATTTAATCATATTTTGTCCAATTTTTTAAAAGAAAATTTTAGCTATTATAATCAAGTTTTGATGTTCTCAATTTGATTTCAATGTAGTTTGATTTATTTTTTTCTTATTTTGCATTAAATTCATATATACATATATTTATATTTACATATATATATATGTATGTATATTTATATGCATATTTATGCTTTATATATACTTAAAAAATTATGTATATATATTATATTCATCATACAAATAAGGATTAATATTTTATAGTAAAATTTTTAAAAATTTCAAGTCATGTTAAATATTATTACATAATTTTTATTTATATTATAAATTGATTAATTTTTAAAAAATTAAAAGATTCATGCATGTCTTATTGAACGAAATATTCTAAGCATAAAATTAATTATTTTAAAAAATATACTATAATTTGAGAAAGAAAATTATTAATCAATGCAATTAAAATCAACCGAATTGATAAAACAATTAAGTTTTATTTAATTTGTTATATAAAATTACCCATTTTAAAAAATTGTAAAAATAAATCTAGAGAAGAAGCATGTTTTAATTGAGCAAAACAATTTATTTTGTTAAAATATTAATCCATTTCTTTAATTATTAGCAAAATATAAATTCTTTTCGCTCTAAATATTTCTAGCAAATCCAATCGCAACCGATTTTTTTTGCCAAAAATCTAGCATTGCAGACAATCTTATCCATCATTATTATCGTTTGAAAAAAGTTGTCAAATCACATAAATTATGCAGATGTATTTTTGGACATTGTCAAATCATCATCTAATCACCTTTATGTGCCGTCTTGAAATTGGTCATATTATCTACTAATAATAAAACATATTGCATCAAGTCGTATTCCACAACAACAGCAAAGACAATACAACATAAGACTTGATACACTGGTCACAACCCTAAACCAATTCTTGCAATGAAATATCTACATTATTATTATTATTATTATTTTATGTGAAAAAAAATAAAGTTGAAATAAAAAAACTTTATCTATCTCTTAATTACTGTCAGTAAAATTTTAAACTCCATCAATAAAAATAGGGGTTTAACTTTTTCTTTTTATATTTTCTTCACTTAAATGTCACAAAATTATTTTTTTGTGTTTTTTATCAAAAAATTGGTAATTTAAAATTAAAAAAATTATAATTTTTGGGGTTTCAATTTAAAATTATATTATTTTTTAAAATAATGATATGAATTAATTAAATGTATTTTTAATGTCTAATAATATTTTTATAAGAAATTAAATCAAATAAAAACTATTAAAAAACTCAAAATATACGATTATATATGTTATATATTACATAAACATTTTACTGAAAGCTAAAACTGGTGTATTATGGTGCAATTAAAATGATTAAAAAAAGAAAAATTGGAATAGTCAAATTTGCGCATTAAATTAAAGAAAAGTCAAATTGAAATGAGAGCCAATTACTTCTGCCTTCGGAGACTTGGAACCACCTTTTCTTAACGGTTAAACTAAGAAAAGAAGGATTCACTTGGAAAGTTACTTTTCATAATTCTAATTTATAACGTTACAATTGGACTTTGTCAGTTGTCACACTCAAAACGACATGTCAATTCCGTCAATATAAATAATAAA